CAAGGGCTGTGCTCCGGGAGCTGCCCGGAGAGCCAAACTGCCAGAGCTGAGAGCTGTAGATAAATATAAATACATTAAAATAAGTCAGACTATATAGCACGGTCGGGTCTGTTACACACGCAGAGGAAATGGGAGCGCTCAGGTGGCTTCCAGAGGTCACCTGCACGTGGCACATACCCCCTGTGCCCAGGCAGGGGTGGGTGTGAGCAGCGCAGGGAAATGGGGGTGGCTGTGGTGAACTGGAAATAGTGGCAGGTGAGTGTCCCCCTGCCCTGCCACTCGTGTGCCCAGCGGGTGCCAACCCTCCCTCCCCCCAGCAGGGGCCTGGGCTTTGGTCCTCGTGGAGAAATGGTGCCACTTTTTTCACCCCATAACTCACTGGGGCTGTTCTGTGTGGGGTTAAAGGGAGGGCCGATTTTTCCCTCCCCAAATACTCCTGTTAATGGCTTTCAAATGTTGGCACCCCTGGCGGGTGTGTGTGTTGGCTGCGGGCGCCGTCTCGCACGCAGCAGCTCCCCAGCTCCCAGATATTTCGGCAACCTCCAGCCCCTCTCCAGTTTCAGCTGCAGTTTTAAAGAAAACAACTCCCCCGACTGCAGCAGGAAATCACTATTTGGGTTTGGAGGCACCTCTTCCTGAGGAGCTGTGCAGAAAAGGCTCTGCTCGCCCCGCCAGGTACTGCTGTGCCGAGTCCTTGGCATCTCATGGCCAAGAGGGACCAGGTGACACTCAGGAGCTGCTCAAAAGGCTGAAGGCTATTCCAGCAGGAAAAAAAGAGATGCTTGAGTTGATGGGGTTTGTGGCAGCTCTGTAGGTGAAATAGGGAGCATGTTAAGGCATAAGAAATGCCTTGATAAAACAATAAATGCTGTATATAAAAGCAAAATAAGGTTGATCTGTTTTATTAGTGATGGTTCTCTGTTCAGGCTGCTGCTTTTCAGGCACAGAGGGCCCAGCATGGGGTTCATAGTGTCTGTCCAGGTCTCCTGTGCCTGGGATTCCACCTCCCTTTGTGCAGGAGCTGAAGGGGTGGCATTAAATCCAGTGGGGTCCCTGGATACATGTACCTATTCACATACATGTGTATATGGACACGGGTCCAGCTGTCCTGTGCATCCTGACTTTGTCCCTGGCGTTGTTCTGGGGGCAAACCCCTGTCCTGCCCTCGTATCCCAGGTCTCTGGCAGTGTATAAGGGTGTATTCTCCCCATCCCCATCCCAGGCCCCAGGAGAGGGTTAACACGAGCACTCCTGCATTTTCCTTCTCCAATTTGGTAGCAAGGCAGAACGTGGGGATCTCTGGGCTCTGCTCAGGTCCCAGCCCCCGAGCCTGGCTGGAGGAGCCGGTGCTTCCAGGCAAACTGCCCTTTGGCAGCCAAACCCCTGGCATGTGCCAGCTCTGCACTGCTTCAGCTATCACCGAGCCCAGGCTGCTCCTGCACCCCCTCCCCTCGAGACATCACAGCTCTGGGTAGTCTCTGCTGGTGACAGCAGCCCCGAGCTGTCCCCCCTTGCTCCCCCACCACAGAGTGACAGCAAACCCTTTCTGCCCTTCCCTCCCCTCCCATCCCACGGTATTTTCCCCTTCCTTGGCAGCTCTGCTCTCGTGCAGGAGGCTGAGAGGTGCCAGATGGCTCAAAGCCACCTTGCAGAGCTGTTGTGACACCACACCTTGGTCCCAGCCCTGTAGGACACACAGGATCCAGACTGGGGGCTTGTGCCAGCACAGGCCTGGATTTTTCATTCAGTGGATGCTCACGCTTCTGGCAGGTTCAGGATTAGAGAAATCAGCTCTGGCCAGAGACTGTGGGACACCAAGCAGTGGAAAAAAGTGATGCTGCTGGGCCTCTGGCCTCAAGCTGGTTTTTGGGGAAGGGTGAAAGTGAGGAGAGGAGCTGGTGGACCCGAAATGTTAATTCCTTCCAGCTGTTGTCAGTCTGGCAGGTTCTCAAAGGAAGTTTAATAGACTGCAGTCGTCTCCCCTCAGCCCGTCCCCCATCCCAGCAGAACCTGGGATTACATGAGCTGCTCTGTCTTCCAAAGTCCTGGTTTTATTTTTTTCCCTTTGGCTCTGGGTGTGTTTTCTTTCGTGTGTGAGTGCGGGTGTGTGTGCGCACGCCTGGGATGCCTTTCCCTCCTCTGCCCACTAAACCTGCCCCTTGGGTTGCTGGGAATTAGAGGGGACTGCTGGGGCTGCACAGGGATGGGGTAGGAGCAGGAGTGGGAGCAGAAGTGGGGGCTGCATCATCTGGGAGGAGTAGGAGGAGGATGAGGAGAAGGAGGAGGAGGTGGAGGAGGAGGAAATGGCTTCGTGGGCCTCCTTGCTGGAGCGCACCCCAGTCTGCCGTGTGAACTGGGAGGAAATAGGATGAAGAAAGTATTTGGAGTGGAAAATAAAACCCCTCTCTTGCTTTATTGATCGTGATTGAGGACAGAAATAGCCCAGGCTGCTGAAAGCCGTCCCCACTGCAGGAGCAGCCAAGCGTTGGGCGTGGGGCTCATCCCGTGCAGCTCCTGCAGCACGGGAGAAATGGGAGAGCTCCTGGCACTGGGCTGAGCCAGCCCTGAAAACCCAGGGTTCCTCACCTGCCTGCCACAGCTCCTGCAGACCTTCCAGACCTCGGGTTGCACATCCTGCTCTGCACTGGCTGCACCTCCACACGCTCAGCCTTGGCAGCCCATCAGCAATTAGACAGTGAGATCCCATCATTAGTACCCCCGGTGTGCCATCCATAATGAATCAGCAGCAGGAGAAAACAGGAGGAGGAAACACTGATGGCCAGCTGGGATCAGGCTCTGACCATCCTGGAGAGCAGCAGTGTGGCACTGGGGGGACCCTGCACTGAGAGCTTAAAACACAGTGAGGCTAATTTAGGTGACTGGACCTTTTAATGAATTTTAGCCCATTTCACTGAATTGTTTCACCTAGGACAGCAAACATGGGGCCAGCCAGGCTGGGGAAGGCAGGCAGGGAACCCCAGGGTGCCCAGGAAAGCCCATTCTGCAGGGCCAGCATCTGCATGGGCATAGTGCTCCTGCTCCAGCTCTGAGAGAACCGTAAAAACCAAGTGCTGGCAGGAGAGTAATTAGTTAAACCAGAGCACATCTGTTGTTAATTAATTCCCAGGCAGGAGAGTTTAACTCTTGCCTTCCCCAATGGTTTGCAACCTGGATGGCCAGCATCAACTTGCACTAAAGGAAGGCTTCCACTTGGCTTTTCAAGCCCTTTCAGGGACTTGAGTTGCTCTGGTCCATCATTCCCTGCCCTGATCCATCATTCCCACATCCCAGGACCATCCCTGTGATTTTCAAGAGCACCTGGGACATGAGCAGAGCAACCAGCACTGCCTGGTGGATGTGCCTCAGGTTTGGGGTCAGGGCTGAAATAAATCTGTCTTTGCCCCTCCCAACACCCAGCCCTGAAGAGTAGGACCTCTCGAAGGGTGGGTTTTCAGAGCAGCACTGCAGGGCTGAGCAGAATTTCTGGGTAGCCCTGCACTGCTTACTGCTCTTTTCTGTGCCTTTTTTCAAAGGCAGCTCTCACTGAAGCCCATTCGTAGGTGTGAACATCACATCCATTGAGCAGAACATCACGCTCTGCCCCCACCTCCTGCTCGGGACGGGGACCTTGGGAGCAGCTGGAGCAATGAGGGGGAGCAGGAGAGGGGCAGCTGAGCGCTTGGAGTGCGTGGGGGTGTGAGACCCCACCCCACATGGGACACAAGCAGGGCCAGCCCGCAGGGTCCTCCTGCACAGGGGAATCTGTTCCCCATTAAGCGACTCCGGCAGTGGCCGTGGCTGGTGGGAGCAGCCCTGCCAGCCCCAACCTCCCCAATTAGCAGCACAAGTGAGGCCAGGCTGGGGAAGGCCAGCACCTCCGTCCCTCCTTGCCAAGGATGCAAACGGTTTGGAGCAGAGCCTCAGCCAGAGCCTGTGGAAAAGCTCCCACCGACCCTGTGAGTGCTGGAGGGGGCCCCGGTCCCGTCCGTCCCGGGGTGGGCAGTGATGTGGATCCCATCCCCTGGCCCCTCACTCCTACAGTGAGGGACACAGCCTCAATCCAGCACCCTGAGCCCTCCCTGGGGTGTGTGGGGTGCAGGAAGGCTGCCTGCCCCAGCCTCTTCCCCTCTGTGCACTTGCACCGTGCCGGCTCCGACCGCCCTTCCCTCACCACTAAAAATAGCATTCCCGGCTGAGCGGCAGTGCCGGAGGGCAGAAAGCCCAGATCCCAAACCAGCCCATGTCACCGTGACCAACTGACCCATTTGGCCCCTGGTTTTAAGTATTTTTCCCTCCTCATTCAGCTTCAGCCCAGGCAGCAGCTGAGCTGGGGTGGCTGAGCCCCCCAAGGGGCAGCGAGACCCTGGTGTGGGGCTGTGGTCCCTGACCCACACGGCCTGGCATGGCATGGCATGGTTGGTGATCCCACACTGGGCTGGGACACGGTGAGTGGCAGCAGAAGTGGCCAAAGAACCCAAATTCCAAGGGCTGCCAGCTCCCACAGCCTCATGCCAACCCTGGGCAGCCTCAGCCCTTCAGCTGGGAATTCACATAATTTATTGTCTCCTTTAGGGAATTTGTGCCCTGGGTCTGGTGAAGCAACTCAGGAGCCTGGGAGGAGCAGGGAAAGAGCAGGGAACAACAGTGGGACAACAGGGCCAGGGTTTGTCCCAGGGGTGCTCCAGGACCTCAACCTGTTCCTGCAGTGAAGGACAGAGAGTCCTCTCACATTTTCCCTTCCTGCACAGGGACCAAAGCAGGAGCACCCTGGGGCTGTCACTGACCTGTCCCATGTCCCCAAGGCCCAAGGCTCCCCTGCAGCTGGGAGCAGGATGGGGCACAGGCCGAGACAGGGGACACAGAGCTGTCCCCAGGGACTGCCCTGCGGAGCATGTGGTGGGGCAACTGTCGGTCAGAAATGAAGAAAGACCTTTATTTACAGTAACAAATGAAAAGGACAAAAAATAAAATAAAATACCATGACAGCTCCCTCCCTGTCTCCCCAGCCCTTCAATGGGGTGTCTGCCATCCCCACCCAGCCAAGATCCCTCTCCCCAGGACGGTGGGATAGGGCCAACAACTGGTGGGGGTCATTGGGCACCTACCAAGCCACCCTGCCCCACCAGCCCCGGGACACTTGGGGGTAGGAACAGCTTGGCACAGCCCCAGGGTGTCCCCAGCCCCCCTCCAATCCCACTGCAGGGGCCGGGGCAGGAAAAGCTTCTTCCCAGGCAGGGGACAGGCTGCCTGTATTGCACCTGGCTGCTGCTCTCAGCACCACGGGGGGCTGGCAGGGGGTGTCCTGGGGGAAGGGGATGCTCTGTGCCACCCCCATGTCAGTGGAGCACTGTCCTGGGGCAGCCCTGGGTGGTGGCAGCGGGACAGGCTGTCCCCAGGGCCAGGAGCTGGGGTGGCACCTGCGGGCTCTGCAGGACGGGTGCTCCTGCTCTCGGCTCAGGTGGCAGGAGGCTCCCGCCGCGCTTCACAAACCCGCCCGCTGTGGGGAGGAGGTAGAGCATGACAGGATGCCACCACCCCTGGAGTCCCCCCGGCCCTACGGATTCACCATTCCCCAGGCGGGATCCAGGTCTGGCTCACCAGCTCCAGGGGATGAGGTTTGCAGTGGGGGATGTTGCTCTCCTCCTTCACCAGGCTCTGTCTTTCAGCGTTTCCCAGCGGCTCAGGGACCCTCACCCGCTGCGGGAGGGCCTGGGGGGGTCCCACCGCAGGTCCCCCCGCCGAGCAGCCCCTCAGGAGGAGAAGCAGAGCCCGCAGCACTCCATGCAGATCTCCAGGCAGTCGGCAGACTCGCAGCAGGCGTCGATGATGCCGCAGTCCATGTCGCAGGGCAGGTCGCAGTCCGCGCACTCGCCCGAGTTGCAGCAGCAGCAGCAGATGCAGGAGTCCTCGGAGGTGCAGGAGCCGCAGGTGGCACAGTCCAGAACGATGTTGCAGAGGGTCAGGAACTCACAGAAGAGGCAGGAGAGGATGCAGTGGACGCAGCAATCTGTGGAGGAGAGGACGGGTATGGATGGGTGAGAGCACCCGGCATGGATGGATGCCCAGGGAGCACTGTGAGGGTGGAAATCCTCCCTCAGGAATTAATATAAGGGATGGGAAATAGGTCTGAGGGCCAAGGTCCTCCCTCAACACCTAGGGACATGCCCAGGCCTCAAGAGAGACCAATTTTGGAGGACAGGAGGTGGTCCCACTCAGCACCCACCCTATAGAGGCTGCCAGGAGGGGAGCTCGGCTGCTTCCCAGCTCCAGGGGTCCCAGTGGGCTGAAAGGATCCTACACGAGACCCCAATGGATAAAGGGCTGGAAAAGAGCTGGAAGGGGACCCCCAGGGGAGAGCTGGTACCTTCTTGAGCCTCAATAGGGATGTGGGAAGAGGCCGACTTGGAGCTGCCCTTGCTCTTCTTGCTGTTCTGGCTGTTGATGGACTGGTGGGACTGCAGCTTTCGGTGAGGTTTCTGCGTGCTGGGCAGGGGTCGGAAGAGCCCGTTCCCCGCGTCCCCGTTGGCACCGCCCGGGTCCAGCCCCCGCCCGTTCTGCAGCAGGTGGGTGCAGGGCCCGGGGGGCTGCAGGGCTGGTCTCACCTGGGGCTGGCCTGGGGGGCAGAGAGAGCAGCAGTTACCCCCCAGAGCCCTCCTGGAGTGCTCCACCAAGGAGAAACACGAGCCTGGTCCCCTGTCACCACACAGCAACCTGGTCCCCAGCTGCACACAGCGGGGCTGGGAAGTGATGCTAAAACATGGATGGTCCAAGAGGATTGAGGTGGAAAAGGAGATGGAGAAGAAGAGATGGCTGCAGGGAAGGAGGCAGAGGCTCCAAAAGAGGAAGGGATGAAGAAAGAGCAAGAAATAGAGATGTTTTGTGAAGGACGTCCTGCAACTGGTGACACTCAGCAGAGCACCCGGAGGAGGAGGAGGAGAAGGAGGAGGAGGTCTCCTGGGATCTCAGCACTGCTGGCACAGGCAGGAGGGATGAAGCCACCAAGGTTGCCAGAGAGAGCTCCTGGCTGTCCCCATCATGCTCTGCAAAGCCAGAGGAGGTGAAGCACCACCGGAGAGCCGGAGTGCTCATCTCTGCGGGACTGCGGGAACTGGCTGCTTCATTAAAGGTCTCCCCAACCTCTAGCTGAACTTCCCTGCAGGAGGAGGAAAATAACTCTCTGCTCTGTCTGTGCCTCCCTCCAGCCTCACACACTGCAGCCGTGAGTGCAGGCCATGTCCTGCTGGGATACAGCCAGAGCCAGTGCCCTGTGTCCTGCCAGAGCCCCTGGTGTGGCTCAGCCCTTTGCTCCTGCCCAGTGCCGTGTCCTGTCCCCACTAATCCATGGGAGAGGACTGGGAACCAGCTCAAGGGAGGGGGTGCCAGCATCCACCATCCCCCACAGCGATGCCAATGGAAGCCACAAATAAAATCCTGTCTGATGGTGCTTGGGCCAGCTTTGCTTTTCCTCTCCCATGGCAGTAAACAAGGGATGATTCAGGCGAGAGGTTCGAGGGCAAAGGCACCTCTGGCTCTGGGGAACAGGAGCTGCTTTCTGTGCAGGGCACAGGGGGACGCAGGGGTGGAGTGGGCACAGACGGTCCCTGTCCTGCACCCATCAAAACAAAACAGAGGGAGGTGAAAAACACAAGTGGATGGTCCTGGTGAGGTCCTGGTGAGGTCCAGGCTGAGCTGGACTTGGGTCACAGAGGGAGGTTTAACCAGGGGCTTGGACTTTGACACACGCTGGGAAGGGAACTTAAAATAGCCAGGGCCGAGCGGGAAGAGTGGGCTGGAGGCAGGAGAGGTGGGAGAGGACCAGACTGGACACATGGAAAACAGGTCTTGGATAAAATGGAAATTGTGTCCCCTCCCAAAAAACCTCACAGAGTGTTGACTTCCCATTCACCCATCTCCAGTGCCCCCACCTGCCTGTGCCCTTGCACCGAGCTGGCACTGAGAGGCACTGAGGATGACCACGGTGCCTGGGGCTGCCCAGAGCTGTGACAGGCAGGGATTGAGCCAGCAGGGACCCAGGCAGGGGCTGAGCCTGCAGGGGCCCAGCAGCAGCCCAGCAGTGTCCAACAGCAGCTGGGTTCTCTGGGATTGCAGCAGGATGCAACGCGCTCGCCTTGGCGCTCCCCATTTCACTGCATTCCTCAGATTAAACTGTTTGTAAATCAAAATCACGCTCTGGCTCTGGAGAGTGGCAGCCAAAGGCAGCCAGGAATCCCCCCTCTGCTTTAAGTTAGGGAAAATAGCTTCCATTTTTTAGGAGAGCCTTCAACTCACAGGAGCCCAAAGCTCTTCTAGAAGAGGCACTTTGAACCCGAGCTCAGCAGTGTGGTGCTCCCCAGTACCATGGGTGTCAGGGCAGGAGTGGGGGGGGACCAACCCACCTGACAGCCCCCAGTGCACCCACCCACCAGTGGATGGTGGGAAAGCAGGACTTTGGATGGAGCAGCCTGCCTGTGGATCTTACACGACCAAAACCCTCCTGGATGCTCACTTGGGGTTTCCCACCGAGGCGGTGCCTGCCAGCCCCAGGGCCCGTGGGGGTGTGCTGGGGAGGGGGCTGCGTGGGCCCGCAGGGTGCAGCGGCTGTGCAGTGACTCAGACGTGCAGAATGTCTGTGGGCAGCCGGCCCAGCTCCCAGATGCTTCGCGAGGGCTCAGACTCTGCTGCAGGAAACGTGCGCTCTCCTCGCTCCACGTAGCCCTCGGGAGCGCCCGGATCCTGCCGTCCCCTCCCCTTCCCACCCCGCCTGCCCGCCCTTTGCAGTGTGCAACCTCGTTCCCACCCTCCCCTCATCCCCGCTGGGAAGCATCCATCCACTTTACACCCCTTGGAAGGGAAAGCTGCACTCTCGCATCCAACAAAAGGGGCTGGCTGTGCCCATGGGGCAGCCTGGGAGCGAAACCCTGGGATGCAGGCTGGGAGCCAGGGAAAGGACAGACAGAGGGGCTCCAGGAGTGCCTGGCCCGTGGCCTTCCACATCTGCCAGCTCTGCTCTCCCACCCCTGCAATGGCAAATGGACCAAGGGCCCCCACCCCTGCCCCACCATGGTGTTTCTCGCGGTGGGGGCACCGGCGGGGCTGTGGCAGCAGATCTGGGGAGGTGCTGCCAGCCTTCACCACCGCTTCTGGCAGAACCAGCTCCTCCGAGCAGACAGCCTGGCTCGTCCGGGCTTTGCACCAGCCTCACCCTTGCCCTGGACTCACCAAGGCAAGAGCTGTCCCGGGGGAGGCATCTCCCTTTGCTCCAGCAAGCGGCTGTTGCGCTCCCATCCCACGGCCATGCCCATGGAGCTGTTCTGTCGGGGGTCTCCTCTCTCCCTCTGTGGCTTTGGGGATGTTCCACAGAGCAGCCAGCTCCTTCCCTTGGGGCGTTGGTCCCTCTTCCCACCACGGCACCCCGGGGGACACCAACACCACCGAGAGCTCCTCCAGCTGCCCACCTTCCTCCCCCTGTGCCTCCAGCCAGGCACACAGACAGGAGAGCGGGAGCCATCCCGGCTGCCGCCCTTCACTTTCCCCACTCCAGGTGACTCACGCTCAGTTCAAGCCTTTTGCTTTGATGTGGGGAGGAACAAAGCGAGGAGGAGACGGATTCCCACCTCTGCCCTCCTTTTTAACGAGCCCAGCTCTTGATGAGACGGCAGCAGCCCAAGGCACTGGCACCTGGAGGTGGCCGGGGCTGCACGTGCTGCCACCAGGGAAACACTCACATGTCACAGCTTTGGGAGTGCCTGCGAGCTCAGCCCGGGGGCCCTTGGTCAGGACTTTTGGGGACTCCTCATCTTCCAGGGGTTTCTCCTTCCTGGGCACGGCGGGGCGGGCGGGCGGGCGTGGCTCTGCCGATGGCGCCGCCGGAATCGGCCTCGGCGAAGGGCGCGAGGGCTCTCCGGCCTCTGCAAGACAAACGGGGCTGGAGCTGAGCCCCCCCGGGTCACCCAAACCACAGAGACACACAGCACATCCCCACACTCTGCAGTCAGCACCGCTCAGGGCAGCTGGGCTCCGATTCCCAAGCCAAATCCAGCTGCCTGTTTGCACACAGTGGGGGAAGAGCTGGAGCACCTCAAGGGATTTCAGGCCGCTCGGGGTGGGCACTGAGGCTGCACCACTCTGCAGCTGCTCACCTCACGCAGCGCCAGCAGCTCAGCAGCACCAGCCCAAAAACCCTCCTGAGGTCCCACATTCCTTCTCCAAAAAGCCAAGGGATCTGGTTACACTCAGCGGTTCAAGCTGAATTTTTCATCCCCCTTCCCATGAAAGGGCCACTGTCTTCCCTGCTGGAGCTGCTGCCACCTCCCCTCATCTTCCTGCACTCTGGGACAGGGGCAGCCACTGCAGGATCCCTCGATGGGGCAAGTCAAACCCAAAAGGAGACAGGTTATTCCCCATGGGATAAATTCCGATGCCACACACCCCCTTGCAGAAACCCACAACACCCTTCAGAAGGGCCAGAGCTGCAGACTGGGAGCTTTCTGCCCCTCATGGTGGGTTTCCATGGGGAATGTGGGATGTCCAGGGGAAATGTGGGGTGTCCAGGGGGGCTCAGTGCAATGCTAGAGTCCCCCACTCACCCTCCTTGCTGCCCCATCCCTGTCCCCATCCCCTGGAATAGCAACCTCTTGCACAACAGGGGCTGGACCGCACTTTATATAAAACTAAATTATAGCCTGGGCGAAGGGAGGGAGAGCAGAGACCCATAATTTCCCTGGCTGTAACAAGAGGTCCCACACACAGGCAGGCAAGGGCGGGGGGGCAGGGGAGGGAGACCTGGGACAATTCATTACCCTGGATATGAGGAGGGTCCTGCACACCCGAGCTGGGGGGAAGGTGGGCAGAGCTCACGTGGGTAATTAGAGATTAATGAGGGAGGGGGAGGCCTCCTCTGCACCCCGGGATCAGCAGGAGCATGGACATGCTGCAGAGGGGCTGCAGCCAGTCTGGAATGATGCTCCACGACTCCCCACACGCCTCAGTTTCCCCACAGGACCATCCTCTCTGCCCTCCCCAGGGTGCTGATCCACCCTGGGGTGCCACAGCTCCCGTGACAGGGGGTTTGCTGGGAAGGAAAGCTCATCCCAGCAGAGCCCTGCTCACAGCTCTCACAGGTGAGGGGATTCTGGGGCTCAGCCAAGGGAAATCCAGCACCTCCACCTGAATTTCACATGGCATTGGCTCCAAATCCCAGGGAGAGTGTGAGCACGTGAGCCCCAGACAGGAGAAGAGTCATTCCCATGCCTCTGGAAAGCCCAGGGCAAAACAGAGAGGTGAAGAGAGCAGGCTGTCATCTACCCACAGTGTACAGGTGAGGTGTGGGGATGAATAATTCCCACACGCTGCTGCATCTGCAGCCTCTGCCATGTCCCGACCTGGAGCAGCCTGAGTCAGACCTGATCTAGTGCCTGTTAGAGCCAGGCATGGAACCCTGATGGCTGAGGAGCTCTGCATGAGCCAGAGGTGCCCAGTGCAGGGCATGGAGGTGATGCTCCCCTCTGGTCCCTGGAGAGGGATCTGAGCTTCTCTGGGTTCTGCTGTGAGATGTCCAGGGCTTAAAAATTCACAGCCTCTGGGGCTGCCCAGAGCAGCCCCATCACCACCAGATCCCCTTCCCTGCAGCTTTTTTACACCAGGAAAAAGAGCTGGAAAATCAGGTGCTGCAGCGGGACAGGGGTTGGCACGGGGAGAGCTCCAGCTGATCCCTGTCCTGCCATGGCCACCCTGTGCTCCCTCCATCACATCCCTTGCCCTCTCCAAGCCTGTTCCGGGGGGGATGAGGACAAGGACAGCCTGCTGAGACCCTGAGCTCGGAGGGAAAGCCCAGCACTGGCTGAGTGGATCCGTGTGGATGCCCAGTGTGCTGCTGCCAGGAGGAGACAAGAGACACTTGTAATTACCCTGCACAGGGTCTCACACACAACCACAGCCATGCAGGCAGGAAGGTGGCAATTAAATTAACTCCCACGGGAACAAGCTGGCCAGGAGAGAGACAAAAATAGACAGGAAAGAAATTTGGGTAAGCTGGTCCTTCCCTGCCTTGCACAGCCTCACATCCCTGCTGCTGCAGGGCCACGGGGAGACCAAGTCTGCCAAAATGCACCCAAGAGGAGGCATCACCTCTGATGACACAGGCAGAGATGGACAGACAGACCCCCAGCACTGGCACAGGCTCATCCTACAGCTCCTGGTTCCCTCTCCTACTTTAAATCCCCCCAGTCCCTGCTCCAGGGGTGCCCTGGCAAGAGGAGGCCCCCTGGAGTCCCCTCTCCCAGCTCTTGGCTCCTTCCCTCCCCTGCTGCCACCAGAACAAGACCAGGGCTGACCTAAATCCCTCAGGTTTGAAACCAACCACAGGCCCAGGCAAAGCCCTAAGGAGAGATGGCCCTCAGGATGGGACATCCATCCCTTTCCTCACCTGCCCCCCAAAGCAGCTGCACCCCCAGACCCCTCTGGGTGGGATAAAAGCCCATCACAGTCTGGGATGAGAGTCTGGGTCTCCACTCCCCCATTCTGCACCACCTCTTGTACAACACAAGGGAGACGTGAGGGTGACGTGGCACAGGGAGAGCAGCTCCAGTGTCTGGTTCATGGGAACAGAGGTAATAAGGCATTTAAAATAATAAGCCCAGCTTCAATAAATCACAGCACTGCCCTAAGGTACAAAAGATTAGGGAAGCGATAGACACAGAGCTGCTTTCTTTGCCTCCTGGTTGCCAAGCCCAGGACACGCACATGGATCTGCTTTTCCGACCGTTCTCCCCATTTCCAAAGTCCAAACCCACCACTGTGAAAGCCCCGAGACATCAGCCAGCTCCAAAGTCCATCAAGAGGGTGAGAATGGAGGAGGAAGGAGAGGAAAGATGTAAAGCTGGAGAGTTTCATTGCTGTACCATTCCTGCAAAGTCCCAAGTCCAAACAGCCCTCTGGGAGCGATGGCTGCAGGAAGGACCTGCCCCACAGGACCAGTGTCTGCAGGAGCTTCTGGGGCCACCCCCGTGGTTCTGACCAGGGGATAAAGTGCTTTGTGGGGGAAGCACACTGAGTTCCTGATGAGCTTGCAGGACTGAGGTGACCATTCCCAAAGAGCTGAGCAAACAAAAGGCAACTGCATCGTGTCAGCAGCTGGTGGGAGCTGGGATGGGGCAGAGCATAAACATGAGCCACACCACAGGCAGCACTGCCACAGCACCCTAGAGCTCCCAGGGACCTCTGGATTCCCTTACCCCAGCTGTTTGTGGTGTCCAGACCCCCAGCTGGGAAGGCTGAGAGTATGTGGGAAGATGCAAGGCCAGAGCCACAGTTTTGGGTCAAACCCACCCAGGTTGTCCCATGGCTCCTGCTCATTGTTCCTGAGCTGTAGCTGATGCTCTGCCCAGCTCCTGGGGTCTCATTTATCTTTCCTCTTCCTCCTAACTGCCTTTGGCTCAAAGGGAAAGAATCTGGTGGCAGGAGATGGATGGACACATTCCCAACGTGGCACTTTCCCCTTCCCCACTGCCCAAGGCCAGAGGGACACAGCACGGGAAGGAAAACGCTTCCAACACATGGAGCTGAAAACAGGCTGGGGCTGGGGAGCGTGGAAGCAAATCCCACCTCCTTGGCAAGGCAGATGTTTGCCTTAGGTGGTGTCAACCCAAAGGGGGGGAAGAAGGGTCCCAGCACATCTGGATCCACATCTGAGCTCTTGAGGGGCATCCAAACCTAATGCCACGGGATGCGACTCCTGCCAGCGGGGAGGTTCTCAGGACACCCTCCCGTCCCCCCTTCTGTCTCCCTTTAATCCCTTGGGAATGGCTGGACAGGGACCAGGTAGTGTTGGACAGAGACGCAAACAGAGACGGTCTAGGGAGGCATTTGCCATGAACAACATGCGGCAGTGTTTGGTTTGGGAGCTCTCTAATCTCTTTTATGCAGATAAAATGAGCGTGTAATCTCTCTTGGTTTTCTGTACGCACTGCCTGGCCCAATCAGGTGCCTGTCTGACCTATTCCAGGGGTATTTTAGAGCCTGATTAAGTGGTTTCAAGTGCAGAAGAGACGGCACTGAAGCAAATCCTTCCAATCCCGTGAGCCAGGCTGGAGGAGAGGAAAGCAAAATTCTGGTTTGAAAGTTTGCTCAACTGGGAAAAATCCAAATGGCTTATTTACATTCAGTCTGAAATTAATGCACTGAAGCATTCTCAGATTCTATGATACTCAGGGAAAGGAAAAGGAGGGTGGGAGGGAAGGAGGAGAGATGCCCAGAGCACTGGAGCACAGCTGGGAGAGACTCAGTACATCTTTGCTTCCCTCCCAGAGAGCCCCAGTGTCTCTCTGCTCACCTGGGCAGTGCTTTGGATAAACAGTTCAGTTCTGGGACAATGAGGAACTCAGTCAAAAAAAAAAAAAAAAGTGGTTTCTATGAAAAGTTACTTCCTAAATGCAAAAAAGCAAAACAAAGCAAAAGAACCCACAAAACCCCAAATAGCTCAGCAGCCTGGGAGTTGTTGTTATTTGTTATTTATAGCCTTTGGGTGGGTAGGAAGGGAGGAATTTTGGGCCAGACAGGTCAGGACCAGCATCCATCCAGTCCATCTGTGTTCAGAGTTTGACCTCAGTGACAAAACCCTGACTCCAGGTTTGGGGCATAGACCCTGTACCAAGGTACCAAGGTGTCCCTACAAATTCCATCACCCAAAGGTCCTCATTGATCCAACCAGCTCCTGCCAAGGAGGCAACAACCAAATTCATGGAAGAATTGCTCCCACTCAAGAGCTGGGTGGTGAGGGTGACCCTCGAGAAGGGATTTCAGGGAAGATAACAGGTAAAATCACTGCAAGAAGCACCTCTGTCACTGCAGCACTGCGGAGGAATTCTAACTTATGCAGTAAGAACAGATTTAACATATATATTTTATACATATTAGGTAGCTTTTGGAACTGGAGCTGCAAGGGAAGAAGAAATCTCTAAGCCTGAACTGGAGGCCAGGGACAACACAACGCCCAGGACACCAACCAGACCAGCAGGACCGGGTTTCTTTCTTCTTTTTCTCTCCCAGCATCAGGCCTGGGCTCTGCCTCATCCAGAGAGCAACATAAAACCTCCCAAACTCACTGTGGGGCCAAGGAGTGGCGGAAAATGATGGGAAAACAAAAGCATGGACACCCAGCCTGGGACTGAGACAACTTCCACGGGGTTTGAGGAGCACTGTGCCAGCTCGGAGCTCCCTGGGGCAGGACAACCCCTCAAAGGGTGGAATAACCCCGTGCCACGGCAGCCTGGCATGGAGGAAGGGTGCAGGAGGAAATCCTGTGACATCCTGGGTGTCCTTAAGGAAAAGCAATTATCCCTGGAGCCTGGAAAGCATCTAAGGAGATGCCTATCACATCCAAGGAGATTCTGGGAATTACAGGGCAAGGAGCTGTGCTGGGGAAAATTATGGAGAGAGTAATTAAGGACCAAGGCAGTCCAGTAATTGTGTAACCTTCTGGGGTTAAACCAGCACAGGTCCTGCCAGGGAAAATTTGTGTCTTTCTCCCCACTAAGAGTCCTTAAAAAAAGATAATTGAGGAGCGGATCAACGGGAGCTGGTGGACATCATTATTAACAGGGATGATAATTTGCACTTATGCAGCCCCTTTCATCCCTGGCTTTAACCCAGGGCCCATCACACCTTACCTGAGCCCCAGGTATTTTCCAGGGGCTCAGCTGCAGCTCTGAGCGGAAACAACCTCGGCACAGCTCAGACCGGTGGGGAAACTGAGGCACACAAAGGGGATTTGCCCAAAGAAACACCCCATGGAGATGGAGCCTGGCACCAAAAGCAGCCAAACCAGGTGAGCCCTGTCCTGCCCTGGGGGAAGAAGCCGGAGCTGGAGCTCCTGTGCACCCATCCCAACACAGGATGGGACTGGGCTGAAAGCACTTCCCAAAGCTCCTGCCCTGGCACAGAGCTGGGGATGGGCAGCTGGGAATACAGCAGGACACACCGGAGCAAGGGGGGAACCCTCCCCCCAGGCCAAACACAAATCCCACAAGGCAGCTCAAGGTCAGAGATGGGTGAAGACTGGAATTTTACACTGCTGCAGTGTAAAAGCTCCTTTCCACTGGTACAACCTGGCACCCTGGGGGAAATGGGAAAGGGGTCAGACTGGGAGGGACCGATGTGGCTCATCCTGGGGGCTGCTGGTGCCCATCCCACAGGAGGCTGTGCTGGGCAAGGCAAGTCCTGGAGAACATCACCAGAACTCCAGCAAACACCCAGAGGAGGGCTTGGGTTTCTGCAACTCCTAGGCTTGAGCAGCAGCTTTCCAAGGAAATTCAATAAGGAGCTGGAGCGGGAGCTGGGGCGGCACAGCCCCAAGGCCCTGCTTTGTTTTGCACAAACCCAGAAACACTGAAAAAAGCCAGGAATCTGCCTTTTTTTGTTTGGCATTTGGGGTTTTTGTTGTTGTTTTTTTTAGGGTTTTTTTTTGCTAAGTTTTGTTGTCGTTCAAAGGAAAAACACAAACGAAGCGTTTTCACAAGCTGACAAGAATCTTTGAAAGAAAACCAGAAATGGACCCTTTGGTGCAAACAGTTTCTATCTGGGATTAAAAAAAAACAAACCCCAAACACTTTGTCTCTTTTGGGCCTTTTTGGAGGGGATTCTTTGCACTTTGAAGGTGTCTGTGTACAGCTCTGCAATCCTGCATTTAAATCAGTGTTAAGACAAGCAAAGACCCTTTTATTTTGACCTTGGAGGGGGTTCCCTTTGTTCCTACCCCCATCCCAGTGTGTACCTGACTGACAGTGGCACCAACTCCTGCCCAGCACCCCCTGCCCAGGGCACCCATGGGTGCTCAGACCCCCAAGGAGGGGACAGACCCTCGTGCAGGCACCCACAGCTCGGTATTTTGGGTCTGAATGCTGCATTGTTAGGGCTGAGCACACAACAGCTTTTGGCCTCCTGTTACACCTCGGGGCAAAATCCTCTGGAACAGGCAGAAAGAATTAAAGGGAAATAAGTGCGTGTGAATGTCCCATCCCGGGCTGGCTCTGAGAAAGGACACTCGGAGCTGCCAGCGACCAAGCTGGGACACAGGCACGGAGAGGGGGAATAAAGGGGGGACACGGAGGGGGCAGGGTGGTGGTCCCATGCAGCAGATGTCCTGTTGGGAAGGGAAGGAAGAGAGGTGGGAATGAGTAGAGTCAAACCCGAGGGATAAGTTTTGCTTCTGGAGGTGGATTTGCCTCAATCGTCTTTACATGGGTTTGTTCCCCATGAGGAAAGACCCTCTCCTACTGTGCCTGCTCTCCCTGTCTTTTCCTCCCTGTGAAAGGATGATCAGCCAAAAAATCTTTCTGTTTTTCTCCTGTTTTCTGCTAATTCCTCTGAAAAGTAATTACCCCCCATCCCCTCCAGGGCAGACAGTCACCTCTTCTCTCCTAGCTCCTCTGCAAACTACCTGTGGTTATTTCCAGGCTTTGGTTTGCCATGTCCCTGTCCCTCCTGGGTGGGAGGAGGCCAGGATGGCACCCAGCCCATCTTCAGAGATGCCAAGGAACAAACTTGGGGAAATAAGCTTCTGCTCAGGCTGGGAAATAGCACCAAGCACAGTGAGACCAGCCCGACCTGCCTCTCACGTGCTGCCTTGGGCCAAACCGCTCCGGCACCTCAGATTCCCTGTTTATCCCAGAGCCCTGGTGTTTGCAAACGAGCTGATCTAGTTTGCAAAGGTTCAGACAGGGAATGGATAGAAAATTCCCAGGCTGGGCAGTGCGTGACCGAGCCTCTGGCCCCTGCCCAAGAGATCAGGGCTCTGTATGGGTGACAGCGAGCTGGCCTGGCCACTCATCCCCCTAAAACCAGAGAGAGACAAAGAGAGGAGTGGTGTGAGCCAGGATTCGAGATGTGCCACCACAGAGCTGCCCTCTGAGGCAGGACAGGGATATTCTCTGGGGATGAAATGTAGCCCCTGGAGCTTGGTCAGACAGAAACTGAGGGTGTTCTGGAGACCCCTTGCCCTCCCCATGCTGCAAAAGCTGGGTCTAAAGGAGGCACAGCTGGTCCAGCTCTGCTTGAGTTCACACATTTGGTCCACACTCCCCTCCAGAGGAGCTGGGGAAAGGGAGGGTGGGTTAAGGGCTGCTCTGGGATGGAGGTGCCACACCTCCAACATGGGCACACCGAACTGGGCACTCATGGATGCCCCCAGGCACCTTGGCTGGGTCCCACCGCTCCTGCTCAGGACACCAGTACAACTGGGAGTTTAACCACACTCTACCTACACACCGCTCCTGTGCAGCCACAGGGAAGGTGGAAAAGTTCCAACAACATTTTCCCCAATACACTGAACAGATTTTTAAACTACTCCTTAAAATACCCCCCAGTTGACGGTACAGTAGCCGTGCACAGCACTCCTCCTGACCCGGGCTGGAGGCAAGTTCCCATGCAAGAGCTTTCTGCACTAGGTCTGTGCATTAACAGTTCACCATTTCCCACCTGGAAGGGAAAGCGAATGGAAGGAAATCCAGGGAAATCAGTCCCACAGAGCCCCTGCAGCTGCCTGGGCCCCGGGACGCGGCTGCAGCTCAGAGCAGCTCGGCCGGGAAGCAGAGCCTGCGGCATCCAGCTGGAAGAGCAGGGGGGAAGAGAACAAGAGGATGTATTCTCCAAAACTTGGGCCCAGCCGTGCTCCGGGCCAAAGCCAACACGGGACTGGTCCAGCTGTGCTGGATCCTGCCCTTGGCCATGCCCGGCGCTCCCGCTCGGCCCGGCGGCCGCGTTCGGAGCACGCGGGAGCTGCTCCTGCTGCGCATTTGGCCCCTTTTGTGTCTGGCCTGACAGACACACCACGGCGTGTCCCACCAGCGCCAACAGCCTCCTGCTTTTCCCCTCTCTAACTGGGACTTCTAATGCCATTTCTGCACGTGAGCCTTGGCAGGGACTGAGCAGCGATCCAGGCAGAGTCACCGCACTGCTCTGCCCCGTGGAAAGGGCAACAATTCCCCAAACTTTTCCAAGCACTTCTGCATGGCCTGATCCTGCCCCCCTGCATCCCATCACTGAAGAGCAGCCCCCAGCCCCTCCGCCCATCCCTCGAGGGGGGAGGTTTGACTCGCTCCGTGCGCTTGGCCCTGCTACAGAAACTGCTGGAGAGTCTGTGCTGCGAAGTCCCCGCGGGGTCCCGGCAGCTGCTGCACTCGCACAAACACGGACATGAACACACTCTCAGGGGCACCAACACACCCTCAGCTCCACACAGCCATGCACACTCACACACACGCACACAAACACACAACCGTGCATTTCTTCCCCCACAAAACGTGCTTACATGCACCCCCCAGCCACAACCCCCCCCACAGTGCCCACCCACAGCCCCCAGCCACGCACACACACACCCCCTCCCCTCCTCTGTGCACACACCGTCTCCAGCAATGCACCCCTCGACGGGGCACCCTGTCCCGGGCACCCACACGCCCAAACCTTGCACACCCCCGAACCGTGCACACCTCTCCATGTACATATCCCTCAGCCACACACCCCTGGTGCTGTGCAGACCCACCCGCAGCCGTGAACCCACAGCCCCCCACCCGTGCCCCCCAGCCCTGTACACACACACACACATATACATTTATACCTCCCCCGGTCCTGTACCCCCGGAGCCCTGCACACCCCCCCACCCGTGCACACACCTCCACTCCCCGTGAACTCACACCCCCCGTGCACAAACACACCCCCGCCGCGAACCCACAGCCCCCACCCTTACACACACACGCAGACCCCTCTCCCGCAGACGCGCCCCCAGCTTCCCATCCGTGCCCCCCACCCGTGTCCCCCAGCCGCTCACCCCTCTCTCCCCCGCTCCCTTCCCCGGGCAGGACCCCGTACCTGGCGGTGGGACCGGTTCTGCGCGGGGCGGCTCCGGGGGCTCGGCCGAGGGCTGCCGGGCCGGGACATCGGGGCTGGCGGTGCGGGTTCGGTGTGGGCTCAGTTCGGGCTCAGTGCGGGCTCAGTTCAGGCTCAGTTCGGGCTCAGAGCGGCCCGTCCCGCCGCGCTCACCTGGGGCCCCGCGGGGCACCGCGCCCGCCCCGCCCCCGCCCCGCATCCCCCGGCCCCGCCGCCCCGGCGATGGGCCGGCTGGGCGCGGGGCTGCCTCTGGGCTGGGCTTCTGCCTTTTTCTTTTTTTCTTTTCCGATTCCTTAAAAAAAAAAATAAAATTAAACAAAAAAGCAACAGCAACAAAAAAAGCTGGGAGCGCAAACACGCGGCCGCCCGAGCCCGCAGCGCTCCGGGAGCTTCTGCTGGAGCCTGGAGCGGAGCCGGGAGGGGAGAGGCGCGGGGCAGGCGGAGGTGGTGGCTCCCGGGGCCAGCCTTGGATTTGGGATTTCACAGCTGTGCTGCGCTCTCGGCTCAGGGCTGGGTCACCCCAAAAGCTGCGGGGGGAGTAATGGGGCTTAGCTGTGCTCGGGCCCCATCGGGTGGGTGTTGGGACCCTTTGGGAAGGTGCTCGAGTCCCTCGGGTGGGTGCTCCTGCCTGTCTGCCTTCCCCCAGGCAGGAAAGCAAAGAGGGAACTTCTGTGCCTGACTCCATGGCGTGTCCAGGGAACGCCTCTGCCTCCCCCACCCCTCCCTGCCTCAGTTTCCCCAACTGGAAAATGGGGTTCGTTTCCTCGGGGCGATGCCTGGAGCTGCTGGGAGCAGAGTTGATGGCGTTGCTGCCCTCAGATCGGCGTGACACCCATGTTCAAGCAGCAGCAGCACATCCCGAGAGGGCCAACCCAGAGTTCAGTGCTTGCTCCGGCACTGTGTCCCTACAGGGCCCCACGAGGGTTCGTCCCTGTGCTGAGCGTCATGTAGGACCCGGCGGGACGTTTGCAAAGTTGTTTTTTTATCCCACTGCTGTGTTTTCCTGTGTTTAAAAGCCCAGACTTGCAAAGCACAACAGAGAGAGGCTGGATGGTGGTGGGCTGGGCTGGAGCCTGGAGTGTGATCCTGGAGCTGGACCAGCCAGGAGCACAGGGGGCTGCCCCCCTGCCCTCCCTGCCCTGTCAGCCCTGCCCTCGCCCACCCCTTCCCAGACACACTGGAGTCGGGGCAGTGACTGGAATTTGCAATCCAGAGCTTCAGCTCCAGGTTCCCAGAGCAGGGTTGAACCCAGGGGACAGCTCTGGTGACTCCTCACATCCCACTTCCCTCCTGCCCGGTGATGCCCCAGCCCTGCTGCCACCGGGGCTGTCACCAGCGCTCTGGTGCAGCATTTGGAGGGCTGGGGGATAAGGGAGACGTCACCACTGCGGCCACATGGAAAGGAAATGGGTCAGGAAGTGGGAATGAGGCAGCCTGGGGCACGAAGCGGGACTGGAGGGATCTGACTGCTCAGAACTTGCCAAAAGCTCCATCCTGAAGGCAGAGCCTTCTCTGAGCATGGCTGGCACTGAGGGCGAAGCATCGAGTGACACTGTGACCCCCATCCGTGGTAAAACCACCCGAGCACAGGTCATCCCACTGGGAGCCGGGGCTGGGTCACTCCCTCGCCTGGCACCGCTCCCAGCAGGATCCTGCCAGCTTTCCACGGCATTCACCACAGTGCTGGCCGTGCTGGTGATGGCGAGCAGGGCCGTGGGGTGTGCCGGCATCGCCGGCTGCTGAGGCAGTGGCTGAGTCACGCCGGGATCACGCCGGGATCGCCCCAGCCCCACGCGCTGCCGTCGCACATTCCTCCCTGTTTACCTGCCCAGACACCCCGGGCCGGCCCTGCTGGGGCAGAGCCACCCTCGCTCCTCCGGGCAGTCCTGAGGGACGGGCACCACCGGACAGGGGGGTCTGAGAGAGAAGGGCCTGGGAGCCCTGGGGCTGCCTGGAGCTGGGGAGGCAGGAGGTGGCTGCCCAGGCTGGGGGTGCTCTGCCTGGGGAAGGACAGAACTGGGAATGCAGGTGCCACGTGCTCAGCTCGGGCCATGGGGATGGGGCTGGGTGGGGATTAGCTACCCTCCTCCTCTGTACTGACAGCTCCACCTGATAACCCAGAAAAAAAATGAGGAGTAGCTGTGAAGCTGAGACACAACTTTGGTGGTCCAGGATCAACCCCCTGTGCAGGCCTGGCTTTGGGGGGAACAGGGCTCCCCAGGCTGGCAGACCCTGGCACAGTGGGAGCTCGCAAGAAAGTTCTTCATTAGGATTTTGGGGCCACAGAACAGCAGGACTTTACCCACAGCAACACAAGGGCCATGGGGCTGCCTTCCCCTTGGGCCATCCTGCTGAGCCTCCTGTACCCAAGTGGGGACACCCCAGTCGCCAGTGGTGTAGCACCACTCCCGCTCCCAGTGACAGGATCTAAGGGAAGCCAAGAGCAGGATCCAACCTTGCAAAACTAGTCTGCACCCTCCTTTCACTCACCACCCATCCTGGCATGGCATGATGATGCCAACAGCTTTCTGCTGCCATAATCCCAAGGAGTGTTTTCCACAACACCAACATTTTTTCCCCCAAAGTATTGTCTCCTCTAAAGACAACTCCCCCTGAGCAGCTTGAGCAGGGGGCTGGGGGTGGGTGGGAGAGGGGCTGGGGCACCCTGCAGTGTCCAACTTAATCCCACAGTGATTACACCCAGACTAATCCTGGGCTACACCCAGGACGGCTGCACTCCGAGGAACGCTGTGGGAGCTGGCTGGATTTTGGAAAACAAGGCCATTTCTGTAGGTGTGTGACTGCACTGACCCACATTCACAAACTCTGGCTTCCAACTCCGCTCCCGGCTCCGCCGCCACCAAAGTAAATCCACCCGAGCCCTCCCAGCTCCCGGCTGCGCCTCGGGGGGAGCGGGGTCTGCACCCCACTGCCCTGGCTCTGCCCCCCACCACCCACAGCTCTGCAGCCCAACACCCACAGCTCTGCACCCCAACACCCCTGGCCTGTGGGTCCCCCAGCACCCGGTAGCTCCCTGTCCCCCAGACTGGGGGTGGTGGAGATTTAAACTCCTTGACCTTCCCGTCTCCGGCGAGGATTTAGCACTAAAGCCTCGACTTTCCAGTTCAAAGAGGGTTTTGCAACATTCCCGGCATCTATCCCTCGGCGAACCCTTTGAAAATAAAATAAATAAATAAGAGAAAGCGCGTGTGATCCGAAAACAGGGAGCGAAACACCCCTGGAGCCGCCGCGAGCGGGGCTGGGACCCGGCCCAGAGCCGGGCTGTGCAGACCCAGCCGTGTTTGCTTGGGGTCTGAGCCATCTCCCCCTGATCTGTGGAGCAGAGTTACCCGTCCCTGTGCACACACAAAGTCTCTAAACAAAATAACCCTCTCAAGCCCTTCGGTGGGGGGAGGAGGCTCTGCCTGCCTCGCTGGGTTCGCAGTGAATGACCCCACTGTTTTACATTTGCTGCTGAAAGATTTTGATGAGTCACGAGCTATTTCTGTAAATAATTAAAAAAAAAAAAAAGAAAAAAAGAAAAAGAAGGAAATGGACATAAAAAAAAAAAAAAAGGGGGGCCCCATGAACATTCATCTTTGGAAGATGGAGAAATTAAAGACTTCCCCCATCCCCTCTGTGCCATGCTCTGCCCCGGGGGGCTGTGGGCAGGTGATGGTATTGGGGGCAGAGGCACAGGGGCATCATGGTGTGCACGCTGGGGCAGCCCCACCACTGCCACTCACCCTGTGGACCAGTGGGGACCACAGCTCGGGGGTCTCAGTGATCTCCAGTGCTGTGGGGTGACGGGGCCCCGTCCCAGCCAGGGATGGAGCATCCCTGCAGCCCTTTGCAGGGAGGGGGCTGAGGGGGAAGAGGTAGTTGAGGAGGGTACAGTGCACCCACGGATGGGGAGGTGCCCCTCAGGTGCCTTGGGGCTCACACTGATCACGTTCCTGGGCAGGGTCAGCAAAGCCCCCCTGTCTGGAGCCTCTCCCGGGTTCCCAACACCCCCAGAGCATTGCGGGCGGCGGATCCTGCTGTGGGCAGGGCGTGGTGGGCTCACACCCACCAACAAGGTCCCCTTTGTCCTCCCTCCTGCCCAGGACCTGCAGGATGGGGGCTGATGGCCCAGGTTTCTGCAGTTGGGCAGGAGTTGAGGCTTTTGGAGAGGCTGGGGTGGCAAAAGTGGGTGCTACACCCATCCAATGCCCGCTCCCCCCATTCCTGCTCTTTTCCTTCCCAACTTACTAAAGCCACAATTATTCCCCCCAACACTTTGTGAGCCCCTGGTGCAGGGCATTCACAGCAAGCCTCTGGTGGCCCAGGGGTGGGTGACCATCGTGTTTGGAGGCCCCTTCTCAGCCCCGATCCTGGGGTGACACAGCCACATGGACCAGCAACCCCTACGACATCATCAGCTCAGGGAAGGGCCAGATCTCAGAGCAAGAACCCTTTGGCCACTTCCCTCCTGGCCCCAATATTCCAATTTCTTAATGCTCATTTAAAAACAAAACCCAAGAAACCAAAAGCTCTCCCTCCTTTTTTTTTTGGCTCTTTGGAGATATTTGGAAGCTGTGCTGGCTCTGTGCATTCAAGGCAGAGACTCCCCCCTAGTTGTGCTTCAAGGGCTGTGTGAAAATCCCATGGATCTGGAGCAAAGCATCGAGCAAGCTGGAGAGAAGGGTGGTATCCATCTGGATGCAGCTCCGGAGCACCAGGAGGGAAGAGGAGGAGAGGGGTGGGTGCTTTCAGCCAGCATTTTCTGGGTGCATGGAGTTGCTCTGCACCAGCAGCTGAGGGGAGGGCTTGACTGGTCCCAGTCTCTCCCCCTCATCCACATACTGGTTTAACAATCAACCCTGGAAAGCTTTCATGTCAAAAAAAAAAAAAAAAAAGGGGGCCCCATGAACATTCATCGTTGGAAGATGGAGAAATTAAAGACTTCCCCCATCCCCTCTGTGCCACGCTCTGCCCCGGGGGGCTGTGGGCAGGTGATGGTATTGGGGGCAGAGGCACAGGGGCATCATGGTGTGCACGCTGGGGCAGCCCCACCACTGCCACTCACCCTGGGGACCACTGGGGACCACAGCTTGGGGGTCTCAGTGATCTCCAGCGCTGTGGGGTGACGGGGCCCCGTCCCAGCCAGGGATGGAGCATCCCTGCAGCCCTTTGCAGGGAGGGGGCTGAGGGGGAAGAAGCAGTTGAGGAGGGTATAGTGCACCCACGGATGGGGAGGTGCCCCTCAGGTGCCTTGGGGCTCACACTGACCACGTTCCTGGGCAGGGTCAGCAAAACCCCCTGTCTGGAGCCTCTCCCGGGTTCCCAACACCCCCAGAGCACTGTGGGCGGTGGATCCTGCTGTGGGCAGGGCGTGGTGGGCTCACACCCACCAACAAGGTCCCCTTTGTCCTCCCTCCTGCCCAGGACCTGCAGGATGGGGGCTGATGGCCCAGGTTTCTGCACAGTTGGGCAGGAGTTGAGGCTTTTGGAGAGAGGCTGGGGTGGCAAAAGTGGGTGCTACACCCATCCAGTGCCCGCTCCCCCCATTCCTGCTCTTTTCCTTCCCAACTTACTAAAGCCACAGTTATTCCCCCCAACACTTTGTGAGCCCCTGGTGCAGGGCATTCACAGCAAGCCTCTGGTGGCCCAGGGGTGGGTGACCATCATGTTTGGGGGCCCCTTATCAGCCCTGATCCTGGGGTGATACAGCCACATGGACCAGCAACCCCTAAGACATCATCAGCTCAGGGAAGGGCCAGATCTCAGAGCAAGAACCCTTTGGCCACTTCCCTCCTGGCCCCAATATTCCAATTTCTTAATGCTCATTTAAAAACAAAACCCAAGAAACCAAAAGCTCTCCCTCCTTTTTTTTTTGGCTTTTTGGAGCTATTTGGAAGCTGTGCTGGCTCTGTGCATTCAAGGCAGAGACTCCCCCCTAGTTGTGCTTCAAGGGCTGTGTGAAAATCCCATGGATCTGGAGCAAAGCATCGAGCAAGCTGGAGAGAAGGGTGGTATCCATCTGGATGCAGCTCTGGAGCACCAGGAGGGAAGAGGAGGAGAGGGGTGGGTGCTTTCAGCCAGCATTTTCTGGGTGCATGGAGTTGCTCTGCACCAGCAGCTGAGGGGAGGGCTTGACTGGTCCCAGTCTCTCCCCCTCATCCACATACTGGTTTAACAATCAACCCTGGAAAGCTTTCATGTCAAAAAAAAAAAAAAAAAAAAAGGAAAAAAGTTTCTAGTTTAAAAGTTAAAAGCTCCAAGTGTTAAATCCATCAGAGCCAGATGCTCCCCCAGCGATGCTCCCGTGCCCTCCCCAGGGAGCTGTGGAGCCAGTGGAGGATGGGGACGCTCAGGGGGATGGGGACACCACCCCCTAATGCTGGGGCACCCATGGGTGCTGGCTCAGCTCCCCAGGTGGGTGGTGAGGGGCTACAAAGGCACGTTCAGCACACCCCAGGAAGCCACCGGCGAGCTGGACGCAGCTCAGAGCCCTGGAAAAGAGCCACTGGAAAAAAGATTAAGTGAGTTTGGCTGGGAGGGAGCGGCGGAGGGAAAGGGGATGTAGCAGTCTGTTAACATTGGCAGGGTCTGCACACAGATGGGAGCAGCCATTTCGGGGGGCTGTGAGGAGGCTGGGATCTGGAACCTCATTCTCATCCCCTCCTTGCTGCTGGCCATCGCTCCCTCGCTGCTGAAGAGCCTGCAGAGATTTTCAGGGAGAAGTTCTTCAGGGAAAGGGTTGCCAGGCATTGGAAGGGGATGCCCAGGGAGGTGGTGGAGTCCCCTTCCCTGGAGGTGTTCAAGAAATGACTGGATGTGGCACTCTGGTCTCTTGATCAGTCACAGGTTGGACTCGATGATCTCGGAGGGCTTTTCCAACCTCAGTGATTCTGTAAAAATGCACACTTTTTTTAACCAACAACCCTAAGAAAGCAGCCAGCACAGCAGCACGATAGGTAATTTATTTTATTGCATTTTATAATGCCATTGTCCATACAGATTACATGCAGCTAGACCTACTGTACAAGGGTTTACCGTCTGCCAACGCAGACACACGGAGCTCAGAGTACAAATACACAGCGAGGCTATTTCCTTTATACAGCACGAGGACGGCGGGAGGGAGGGGAGGGGTCGCTTTGTACACATCCGCCCTCCCCTCCACCCTCCGGCCCCCTCGGACCTCGTCCCACCTCCCCAGCATCACCTTCCCACCCAGCGCCAAAGAGGATGGGAACAGATGGGGAAAAACAGGAAAAGGTTGTGGCAGGGCTGGCGCTTCCCGGAGCAGCCAGGGGTGGGATGGATGTGCCCGAGCCATGGGCTCCCCTGGGACCATCGCGGGCACCTCCGCGGGTGCAGCGTCCCCCAGCCCCTGGCTCTGGCCTGTCCCGACCTCCCCCGACACTTCCAGGACAAAAACCTAGATCCAGGGAGAACCTCCGGGGCGTGAGGCTGGCCAGGGGTGTAAACAAAGCAAAGAAACCCTTTGGTTTGATGCAGGTTCAGCTGCTGCTCTCCCTTCCCCTCCAACGGCCCCCCCAGCAGCCACCAGTGCTACCAGCACCCCCTCCCTTGGAGCACTGGTGTCTGACCCCCTCCCCTGGGTACCTATTTGAGCTATCTGGGGGAAGACATCACTGAGAGGGAAAAAAAGGAAAAACACATGGAAAAATTAGTAATTCCTTCAGTGGGAGATACCAGAAAAATGCCTTTACGTACAGAGAGGTGGCCACAGCTTCCCCTCATAGAAGTGCCCTGTGTTGGGCAAAAACAGGAAATAAAACACAAAAATTCAGAAAAGCCCAAAAAGAACCACTTGTTTTGGTAGGTTTAAACCCAGAATATATATATCTCAATATATACAGACATACAATTCTGCCACACGTTGTGTTTGGTCCTTGATCCTCCCTCCCCCCGGCCTCCGGCGTGTGTTTGAGGTAAGACACGCAGAATTCAGTAAAATTCAAACCAGCCAAAAAATAAACCAGAGGGGTGAGAGGGGTGGGTGAGGTGGGGGACACACACACAGTACCTGCTTCAGGTGGGACCCTGCAGAGGCAGCTGGGCTGGGCAGGGGATAAGAGAAGGAATTAAATTTACCCCTGAGTATCAAACCGGGCACGTTTCCTGTGAAATCACCCACCAGGATTCCTGGGGAAGAGGCATCACCTGGAGCCACAGGACTTTCCAAACCTGTGCATGTGTTTAAAGAAAAAAACTCCTTTATACTTATATATTTATTTATATATATATATATAATATATAGAGAGAGTGCTCTTGGGAGCCGGGATGGCAGCTGAAAACCTCTGGGAATACTCAGCACAGAGGGGAAGGCGCCAGGTTTTCCTCACGGGGTCTGGGGGTGATGATGGCACACAGGGATTTTGGCTGAATCCATGGGGATCTGGAGGCCCTGGGAGGCATTTCAGGGGTGTCTGTACCTCTGGAAAAGCTTAAAAAAAATATAATCATACCCCCAGGAAGAAGCCCTGGAGGGCTCAGCAACGCCGGGGTGCCGGGGCCACCCTGGATTTATGCAGAATCCAGGGTGCAAAGCTGCCAAAAAATTAAAGAGCAGGAGGAAGGTGAGGGAGAAGGACCAGGAAGGGCAAAAAATGGGGAGCAGCCACTGAAACCTCCTCCAAGCAGTGAGGGGGTCTAACAGTGGGTGCTGGCACTGCCCGAAGAGGCACAATAACCCTTGCCCGGGAAGATGCCACCCCAAAATCCCAAAAGCCTGGATGGAGGCAGGAGATTCCCTGTGGAGGGTGAACCGTGGCCGAGCAGCAGTGAGGGGCTCAGGGGCTGCACCCCGAGGTCCAGCCTGTCCATCCCTCCCCGCCCCTTCGTACGAGTAAAGCAGCAATGGGCGACGCCGTCCCCCAGCAACACCCCCCGTGCCAGCTGTAAACTTGGTACTACAATAACTTAAAATCAAAAGAACTAGGAACAAGGAAAAAAACAGGGGAAAGAAAAACGGGAAAAAGAGAAAAAGAGAAAACGAGGGGAAAAAAAGAAAACGAGGGGAAAAAAGAAGAAAAGGAAAATAAAAAAGGGGAAAAAAAAAGGGAAAAGGGAAGAAAAGGGAAAAAAAAGAGGATAAAATAAAGTAGGTGGTGAAAATTCCCGGTGCTTCCAGCCTCACAGCTCCTTTGGCAGGATGGGGGGACAGGGCTGCAAAAGGGGGGGTCGGGTGGTGCCCCCCGGCCCGGGCAGGGTCTTTGGTGTCCGGCAGAGCCCGGGGGGTGCCGGGGCCGAGGCCGGAGGGGCCGGGAAGGGTCCGGGAGCCGGGGAAGGGGCAGGGAAGGGGCTGTCCCTGCGCTCGGGCAGCCGGAGAAGCGCGGGTGACACCTACAGGGGTGTTGGGGACCCGCGGGAGGGAGGGCGGGGGGAGCAGGGAAAACGCCGGATTTGGGAATGGGAAAGGGCCCCCCCTGCAGCCCCAGCCCGGAGGGGGTGCCGGTGACCCCCGTTAACAGCCCCACCGGGCTGTGTCACACGGGATGACACAGGGGGTGGCACAGGGGAACACGGCTGGGGTGGGGGGTTCTGCTCAGCCTCACCCCGGCTGCAGGGGGGAGCCAGGGACCCCCTTCTCCGCAGCCACCTGGGTACCGAGGATGCTTCAGGCAGGGAAAAGGATGAGTCGAGTTCGGGCTCACCCTGGGGACACCCCACAGCACCAGGAGCCCCCTGGGGAGGTCACAGAGGTGATGTGCGGACAGACAAAAACCACCCCCATCACCCATAGCTGTGTGCTGCATTTTCAGTGCTGCTCCCAGGGTGTCAGCCCCATGTCCCGTGGGGGTGACACAGCTCCCCAGTGTCTCATCCCGGAGTACCAGGGACAGGGAGGGACGGAACAGCCCTCGGGATGGCTCTGGGAGAGCCTGGGGCTGGGCTCAAAAACGAGAGCAGCCCCACGTCCACCACAGTGAGTCCCTCAGGACCCCACTGTGTGCCAAGACAGCCAGTGCCAGCCCGGCTGTGCCAGGGAAAGTGCTGCTCCCCAAGGAAGGTGATGCTCCCCAAGGAAGGTGATGCTCCCTGAAGCCAGCACAGGGCACTGGGGATGCCATGCTGCCTGCCAGGAGGAGGCTGGCACTGGGTACCCACATCACCACCCCAGAAAGAAAGAGCAGGGAGAAGAGGGGTGTTTGGTTGTGTTGTTCTCATTATTATTAATATTTTTTTTTTTTTTGGCATTAATACCATCTGTTCACCTGAACTACGGACCTTCTGTCTCTAGAAATCTTTTGGTATCTTCCCATCTGGACGCACACAAAAGGATAAGGAAAAGAAAAGATGAAAGCAGGAGCCCCCCTGCAACAGGCTCGGCTTGGGGGCCATGGCCAGGTTTGGCCACCATGGGGATCCACCGTGCTCAGCTTTGCTCCCAGCGGGATGGGATGACCCCCAGCTCCTCTGCAGGAGCCCCCAGGAGGAGGCTCAGTGTCGGGGGACGCTGTCCTCCTGCTCCACTGAGACCCTGCCCCGGCTTTGGAGGTGGAACGGGGCGTGCAGAGGATCGGGAGCCTTTCCCTGAAGTCGAAGTCAGGCCACTGGCCACCCCCACGAGGGCTGGGAGGTGTCACCCGCTGCAGCCACGCGGAGCAGGAACGGGGGAGCCGTGTCGTGGCGCTGGCAGTCGGCTGGGATGGTCAGCACTGCTGGGTGCCAGGAACCAGCTCGTGGAGGGCAGGAGCGTGGGGAGGCCGCTCTGCCTGCCAGGCAGTTGAGCAACTGGCCAGAGGTGACAAGGCAGAGGGGTCCCCGTCCCACTGACGTGCTGGTCCTCATCCTTCCCCAGCTTCAAGACAACGGTGCAGCCCGACATCCAGAGCAGGGCAGAGGACTCAGCGCCGTTTCTGCTGTTTCTTCCCCCAAAACTGGGTGGAGGCAGCACACGTGGGCAGGGTCCACGGTCCCTCCTAGTGCAAAACCCACCGAGGGCCCGAGGGGTGACAGTGGGTTCCTGCCGTCGCTCCCTCGGGGTTGGAGCCCCGCCGGGCAGCCGAGCAGCGTGGGGAGAGGGGACAAAGGAGCCTTCCCTGGGAGGGAAGGAGGGACCATTTCGGACAGAAACAACCTACCATCCTCGTTCACCAGTCACTAACCAAGGGAGGAGGGGAGAAAAAGTCCAGCTCTTGGGTTTCTGCTTCTCGTGCCGCAGGACGTGCCCGCGGCCGGGTCGGTCAGTCAGCGGCTGCAGCGCGGGGCAGTGGGAGCGTGAGGGACGCGCCGGCAGCAACAGCTTGTTGCCCCAAGGAAACCCTTTTGCTTTGTGGAAGTGCCTTTAAAGAACAGGTTAACGCCGAAGGTCACCTTGGGGAGGTGGGAGCGTCGTTTGGTCTCCGGCCGGGAGGGTGGGAAGGGTTTGCCCCTCGGTGGGGAGGAGGAAGGAGTCCTTAGGACAAGTCTTCCACTGGCAGCTCCTCCTCCAGGTCCCTGTCGTCGGGAATCGTCACATTCTGGTTGGTGGTGGCCATCAGCGACACAGGTCTGCTGTCGTCCTCCGCCTCCGCTGGTTCCTCCTTCACGTGCACTGGGTGGCTGTGGGGGGGAAGCCTTCAGCCTCGGGGGGCTGGTCCCCCCAGCCACAGCCCCACAAAGCTCTTGGTCCTAAACCCTCCTCACCCAGGGGACGGGAGCCATGGGAAGCAAGGAGCAGCTCGCGGTGCCCCATGTGTCACCGTCCTTTAGCTGCAAACCCTCCAGCACCCCAGTGCCCCCCGCCAGCCCCGTCCCTCGTGCCACCCAGGCTGACCTGTACTGCTGCGGGGACAGGCGTGGGCTGTTGCTGCCGTTGCTGTTGACCTGCTCCACGGTGCTGCTGACGTCGTCGTGGCCCACGTGCAGCATGGCACTGGCCGAGCTGGTGTTGATCATGGTGGGGCTGTTGAGCAGCGGGAAGCTGCTCTCTGCCAGCGCAGCCTGCAACAGAGAGCACGGAGCATCATGGAAACAGAATGGTTTGGGTTGGAAGGGACCTCAAAGATCACCAGTTCCACCCTCTGCCATGGGCAGGGACATCTTCCACCAGAGCAGGTTGCTCCAAGCCCCTCTAACCCAGCCCTGAACATTTCCAGGGATGGGGCAGCCACAGCTTCTCTGGGCAGCCTGTGCCAGGCCCTCCCCACCCTCACAGAGAAGAACTTCTTTTGTATCTCTAACCTAAATTTCCCCTATTTCAGTTTGAAGCCACTCCCCTTGTCCCTCACTACAGTTCCTGATGAAATGGGACCGTGGAGGGGTTTAGTGCCCCCGTGTCCCAGGCAGGGACAGAACAGGGTCCTTACCTGGTAACTTGCATTAAGTGCTCCATAACCGAGTCCTGAAATCATATTTTTGACTAAGGTCGGACTCCTGCAGAAAGAGAGGGAGAGAAGGGTGCAGGGCTGAGCGCTGCTGGCCTGGGGACAGGGACACTGGCAGCAGGGGCAGGTGTGAGCACAGCTCCCAGGCTGTGTCCATGGCAGAGGAGCACCCACCCTGTCATCTTTGGTGGCCTTCGCTTTTGGTACTCGTGCTCGTCCACGGTCCACACGGCTCCCTTGACGTTCTCCACGCGCACGAAGCACTTGTGCAGGCTCAGGTTGTGGCGGACGGCGTTCTGTGGGCAGAGAGGGCGGGAGCTCAGTGGTCTGACCCTCATCCCACTGCCCAGACGCTCCTCTTCCTCACCATCCTCCTCCTCGGCCAGGTCCCCACAGCTCTGGGCTGTCCTGGCCACCCCAACACTCCCCAAAGCCACCCAAGCTGCTGTGAGGGCTCCCCCACTCCATCAGCACTGAGGGGGTTGAGTTGTTGAGCCCCCAAACCACACGTGGGACACGACCCCGTTTCGAGGACCTTGGCCAGATGCTGAGGAAGATGGGGACAGTATGGGACAAGTGACAGCAGCAAGGACCGGGAGCAGAACCACGCTCTCTGCTCGGCAAAGCCAGCTAATCTTCCCCTTTCTTTTCCTTTCCCCCACCCTCCCGTTTTGGTCCTTTCCCTCCCTTTCTTCTTTACATCGACCATCTTTACATTTCTAAATGTAAAATAAAGAGACACACACGTAGGCAGACAGCACAGCCCCGAGAGATACCAGCTCCCTTTTCCCCTTCCAACTCCCTGCCATTTGCTACTGCCCCTATTTCATTACCAATTTTAATTTGCCTCTAATTAAATCCTGTGTATTTTTCCGACTCACTTGCTAATCCATGAGGGAGGCAGGAGGCTGGAGTGGAATCTCTCCGAGCTATAATTACAAAGGGCCTAATCACGCCGGGGCTCTGCCTTTGAATAAATTTCCTTGCATTAAGGTTCTCAGATTCTCTGCCTTGCAAATGAGAATGACCCCAATTTCAGGAAGTTGGCCTCGGAGGGTTTTTTTTTTCTCTCTTTTTTTTTTTTTTTTATTTCGAGTCCTGATTCGTGATGAGAGACTAATTCGTTACGCTAAAACATTAACAGCAATTTAAAAGGTCGAACGGGGGCTGTATAAACAAAGGAGCTGGCCAGCACAACAAGGCAAGAGGAGGCACAAGGACTGAGCCCCCCCGCACTGCCAAGTGCCAGAGTGCCCAGGAACACATCAGATGGCACCAGTGCCCCTTTCGCTTCTCATTTAAGGAGAAAAACAAACAAAGCTGGGCCCTTCCCTTGTCCTCCATCCACCCCTCTCTCCTGGGGAAGGAGCTTCAGGCCCAGTCAGTGCTGTCTGATGTGATTTTTTGGGGGGAACCCCTGCAGGACCCCACAGATCGGGAGCTGACTCAGTTTCTCGGGCGTGGTTGAAGCCAGGTCCCAGCTCAGAGCCACTGTCACTGTCACCCAAAGGGCCACGCTCCATTTGGGCCATGCCCTGCTGTGAGGCACCGCTCAGCCTCAAACCCCACGCTGCCATCTCCCAGGGTCAGGCTGCACAGCGCTGTGCAGACATCCCAGGGACCTGGAATTCCAATGAGGACCCAGAAATCCATGGGGGAGCAGGACTAGCCCCTGTCCCCCACTCTGTCCTCACACCATCCCCTGCCTGGGGCCTGAAGTCCAGCCAGGACTGGGGCCACTGCCCTTGAACTGCTGTCCCTGGTGAGCAAACACAGGACGTCCCTCCCTCGCCAGATCCTGCCCACACTCCCCTTCCTCCTTCCTCCATGTGCTGGGACTCCTCATCCAAGCAATGCCCTGACTGCAGCCACGAGTGTGGCAGAGCAGAACCTTCCCTGCCCACAGAGACACAGGCCCAGCAGTGCCCATGTCCCCCCTCTCTCCCTGGTGACAACCCCCTGCTCCGAAGCACCCAGGTGGGGATGTGCCTGCAGAGGCTCAAGTGGAGGTAAAATAAATCCTGGCAGCGGGCAGGATGCGGCTCAGCATCCCCAGAGCCTGGGATGCCCCATCCCTGTGCTGGGCATCGGGCAGGGAGCTGTGCCCAGGACACGGAGGAGGTGCCAGGCGAGCCCCCCCTGGCATGGGATCCACCCCCACGGTGCCTCAGCCCAGCGTGGCTTTTGTATTTCGACAGAGTATTTGTTCAGAGCCAGCCCCGCCTGCTCTGTTTGCTTCTCATCTCTCTTCTCTAATGGTGTTTGCTTTACACCCTCCACCCACTCCCTGGGCTGTGCTGGGGGCTCCCTGTGGGTCCCCCCCAACTGTGGGGATGGGGCACCCACTCTGGTCCCCAGCACCCCTGTCCCATCCCAGGGGAGCTACAGGAGATGAGGGAGAAGCTGCAGCAGAAATGGTGGTTTTCAAAGAGAGGAAATACACAATTTTTTCCTGTGTATCCCACTCCAGAAGAAGCAGCCTGACCTTGGACACTGGAAGTTATGAAGGGAAGTATCCCCCCTCCAGCTCTTTTTAATCTCCTGCCATCCCTTTTGGTGACAGAACAGGATAAAATGAAGAAAAAAAAACCAGGGCTGGGAGATGCCCTTCTCCAACTCTGCCCTTGGTAACACAGGGTGTGCAGAAACCGCAAAAACCCTCCCAAAATATTTATTCCTTTCAGCCGATAAAAAGGTGGGAAAAAGACATTTCACCTGCCAGTACCTCATTCCAGAGAGGGGCACTTGCAGTGCTGCCCGTGTGCAGCGAGGGGCACTCCAGTCCGACACAGCCCATGGCCAACCCCAAAACTGCCCCCAGCTCCATCCCACCAGCTCCATCCCAGCGCCCTCCTCCCGCCCGGCATGCCGGGATGCTCCGGATGGGCCGTGCTCCAGGGGCCACCCAGAGTGCTGGGGAGCCAAAATGCCTGTTATTCACCCAAGAGTTCTCTGCAGATCCCAGCTCGGATCTGCCACAGCGACACACGGGGGCCCTGGGCTCCAGGAGAACGATTCCTCCTCCTCCTCAACCCTCTCAGAACGCTCCATCTCGCTTGCACCTCGCTGATTCTAATTATTCTCATTTTAAACTAACACGTGTCCCTCTGCCACTTCACTCCTTGCTGCCCTGAGTGGGAGGGAGCTGAGCTGTGTCTCGCTAAATACGTGCAGCAGGAAACAATAAATAAATGGATCCTTCCTGGTCAAGGCAATAACTGAACCACAGAACTGCTCCTTCCACAACTCCCTGCTCCTCTGAGATGTGTTTTCTCAGCTCTCAATTTCTAAATAACCAAAGGGGAAGCAGCCCCGGCACCCACGTGCTGCCCCAAAATTCACCTCCATCAGCCCAGGCCGGTTACAAACGGCTCCTCAGTGACAAAAACTTTCAGTACCCGCCTGTACAGCACCGTGCACGGGGTGGGGGGACCTGATGGGCACAGACACCTGCTTGGGGTCTGGCAGAGGAGTTCCCCTCGCTGATGGTTCCCCTGCCACCTCCACTCCCCATCCATTCCCCTGGCCCAGAACCTGCACCCCCAGCCACACTGAGGCCCAGCCACCTCGTCCCTCAGAGTCACCTGCCCCCAGGTCATCATTAACCTTCCTGGCTATTTCAAGTGTCTCTCTTTTGTCTCTGCCCTTCTCCTCCAGCCTCAGCTCCACGGAAAAGCCCAGGACTTTACAGCGCAGGGATGATGTGCCCTCACAGACCAGGGACGCATTTTGGGGAGGGAAAATGGGGGATTTATCCATAAAATCATCTCCTGCACTATCTCACAGCTGTGCAATAAACTGGTCCTTTACCAGAGGTGCCCACACAAGCTCCCACAGCAGGCAGTCCCAGGTGGGATGGGGTGAGCCCGGTGGGACGAGTGAGCCTGGTGGAATGGGGTGAGCCCGGTGGGATGGGGTGAGCCCGGTGGGATGGGGTGAGCCTGGGTGGGATGGGGTGAGCCCGGTGGGACGGGGTGAGCCTGGGTGGGACGGGGTGAGCCTGGGTGGGACGGGGTGAGCCCGGTGGGATGGGGTGAGCCTGGGTGGGATGGGGTGAGCCGGGTGGGACGGGGTGAGCCCACGGTGCCAAGCAGGGCTGCTCTCACCTTCCAGGTGGCCGTGTTCCTCCGGAAGTAGGCAAACATCCGCGTGAACCAGTTATAGATTTCATTCAACGTTAGCTGCCTGTCGGGGGTCTCCAGGATGGCCTGGGGAACCGGAGAGGGGACAAGAGCATCACTCACGATGCCCCGCTGGGCATCGACGCCCTTCCCGTGGTGAGGCATGAGGGGCAGAACTGGGGGTTCAGCGGGTGTGGGGGCTCCCCCAGGACAGAGAGAGAGCACAGTTGTGGGCGAGGTGCCCCACAGGCAGGTCTCGGGGTGCAGAGCTGGACCCCACGGCATGTGGAGCCACTGACCTGCCGGATGAGCGACGCGTACGTGAAGGGCGGCCGGACGTCAGCGTTCTTGTAGAACTCGTGATTCTGTGCAAGCTCTGGGGGAGCGACAAGAAAGGGGGGGGCAAGGGGTGAAGGGACCCACTTTGGGACCCAGGGACTGCACCGTGGAGGGTGCTGAGCCCCACCCCGCAGCTCACCTGAAGATATCGGGGTGCAGAACTTCTCCGAGTTCCTCCTGCGGATGGGCCCCACGTTGTGTAAAGTGGAAGAGCTGATGACGGAGGGGCCCTGCCGCAGGGGGGTGATGGGCGCCGTGGCGGAGGTGGGGGGATGAGGTAAACCGTCGGGGAACGTGTCGGAAGTGCTCTTGGAGAGGGTGGCACTGGAGACCAGGTTCAGCTGCACAGACAGGGGGAGGGAGGATGGGTGGTTGGGAAGGCAGGGGCTGGGAGAGCCCCCGGCGCACCGGGAGCTCGGCAGGGCTGAGCTGGCTCGTGCCCCAGAGCAGGTAGGGAGGGGCTCACAGGGGGACACTTGCTGGGCTTGGCAGGGATGGGATGCAACCAAGGGAGAGGATGCAACCATGGGAGAGGATGCACCTACAGGCCTGGATGCATCCACTCCATGGAGAGCTGCCAGAGCAGCACAACACCCTGCCACAGGCTGCATTTCCCTCCTGCACCAGCACAAGGGACCAGGCTGTGTGTGATGGAGAATGTCCATCCCACGGAGCTCACCCAGTGGTGACCATGCACAGGGCAGGGAGGGGACAGCAGTGAGGGGGAAGGGGAGAAGAGGGGGTGACTGTGGGGATGTAGAGGGCAGGAAGGGGACTCACGCTTACAGGCTGGCTGAAAGGCTTTGGCTCTGAAGGTCTCATGTGAAGATGGGCCATCATTGCTTGGAGACGCTCGCTCTCCTTGGCCAGCTGTGGGAAGCAAGAAGCAGGAGGAGATGGTCAGGCAGTGCCCAACTCACCATGGAGGTGCCCATGGCCTGGAGGAGCTGCCAACGAGCCCCAAGCCCTGGCCTGGGCAGGCAGCACCCTCCATGTCCCCTGCAGCACCCACTGTGGGGGGCAGGGGGGCCATTCCAGCTCCATGAGTGCAGTTAGATGAAAAATCTATGGTGAAAGGGAGCCCTTCCCCATCCCTCCATGCTGCCACTCACCAGCAAGGCCACCCACCACAGCCCTCACGCTCTCTCCTGGGTGCTCTCATCCCCGTGCCCTGGTGCCTGCCGTCCCTGTCCCCTTCGCCCTCCTCCTGCTCCCCAGCAGCTCCCTGTCCACCCACCCACCCCTCCATCCATCCACTCGGCCGCCCAACATCGCTCTAATTGCTCCCTCCCGCCTGTTTACTCCCCAGAGTGCGGAGAAGGGTGAAATATTCACTGTGGCACCAGGAGAGATTTTGAGCCCGGCGGAGGCGATGGGATCTGACACCCGCTCTCTCCCCGCCACCTTCCCTTTCCAGCGTGACCCTCAAAGCTCGGGGCTCGGCCACCTCCCCTCACTCCACCAGCTCCCACCAGCCGAGCCCCGTCCCTGGGCGAGGAAGGAGTTAAAGGCAGGAGCCAGAGCGGAGTTTGCTGCAAGTTTGGAGCAGCTCAGATGCTGTCGTGGTGCTCATTAGAGCTGACAGGTCTCCCCTCGTGATGCAGACGCTCCGCGCCGGCACAGCGGGAGCTCCGCGCTCAAAACTTCATAATTGGTGGCTCCGTGGCAGGTTCCTCTCTGCACACACAGCTCTGCTCGCCCTTCAGCTTTTTTTTTTTTCCCCCCTTCCTTCCCCTCCCCTCTTTAAGCCCCAGTAATTGCTTTCAACCTCTCGCTTTGGCGAGGGCTGGGGAGCAGGATGGATTGCAGGGATCACCCAGGAGGCTGCAGCCTCTCCCCCATCCCACAGTTCGCCCCAAGCTGCTGTGACTCGGGGTGGAGGCTCCCAAGGGTGCCCCACATCACATCCCACTGGCCCCCCAGGCCAGTGTACCCTGTGATGTCACACATACACTACCCTGAGCTCCTGCCAGCCCCAGCTGGGCACCCAGACACTGTCACACCATGGGGGTCTTGGTGACTGACCCCCTGACAGACCCCTGCCCTGTCCCTCTTTCAAGTCCTGAGATGAAAACTCCCCATTTCCTCCCCTTTCCCCCCTCCCTTCTCCATTAACTGAATTATGCACAGCACGTTGGGAGCCAGAGATGCTGCGAGAGGCTCTATTTAAAGAACTGCCTTTCCAAAAATAGCACCCCGAAGTTGGGCTCCACAGACCACGCTCAGCCACCAAAATAAGTGGCCTGATTTCCAAGGACCCCAGTGGCCCTGTAGCTCCCACGGAGGTGGCACAGCTCATATCCCACCTGTAGGCATGAACCCTCCTGGCAGCACGTGCCTTCCACGTCTGTGGCATCTCCCTGTACCCACAGGGACACTCTGGGCAGGAGGGATGGCTCGTCCTTTCCTCCAGCCCCACCACAGTCATACAGGAATGCTGCTATGGGGGGAACCAGACTGAGATTTGCCCAGGGCCTGATCTCCACCCACACGTAGCCCAGGGCCAGCACTGCTGTCCGGGTAGGATGTTTGAAACGAGTCCCCAGGTGGGTGGTTACGGTTCCCAACCTCCCTACTCCCCCCTGAGGAGAGCAGCCAAGGCACGGAGTGCAGAGGGGCAAGGAAATGGCTTTTTACACCCATGTCAGTGGAGGCAGGGGCAGCACCCACCTGTATCTCCAGCTGCTGTACCACTTGCATCTGGACTCGACACTGGGCCGTGCTTCGGTCATCAAGTGCATGTTCTGTGTTGAGGTGTCTGGGGAGGAGAACATGGAGGGTTATGTCTGGACATGCCCAAAATGCTCCCCCTCAGCTGGGGCCACACCTGGGATCAGCCCTGACCTGTAAATTGCTCAGGGATGCTCTGGCAGTGGTGCCCGAAGTGGGATGAGCAGAAAGGAAACTGAGGCATGCAAGTGACTGAGCACACCAGGCTGTGCCACCTCCCCAGGCTGGATGGGTGGCCATACCCACCCAGCCCTGCCTGTGGCACCACACGGTGTTCAGGAGCAGCCACTGGCTGATGGGAAGCCCACGGATTTTCCTGGAGAAGGCTGCTGGCAGAAGGTGCCAGGAGGACCTGAGGAGCAGGTTTCCAGGACAAAGGTGTCATTATGGAGATCGACTTACACCCTCTAAGGAAACCCCCGAAGGCAGAAGGTGGCATTTCCAGGGTGTTCCTCATCCTACCACTCCTGTTTAAGAGGTGCTTTATGTTTGTGAAGCAGAAGGACCTTTGGTCCTCACTGCTCTCCTCCTCCTCGGGAAGGGGAAGGACTCCTGAGGATGACACTTGTTGCAGAGACAGGGACATCCTTGTGGGGGTCCTCGCCCCCAAACCCAGCCTGGGGATGCCCCCATGAGAAGGCGCCTCAGGAGCTCCTCTCCACCCTCAGTCCGGATGCAGAAGACAGCAGGAGTCTCACCCTGCTGTTTGTGAGAGACTTCCAGCCCCAACTTGCACAAACAAGCCAGGTAACTGGGCCCAGCTGCCAAGCCTGCAGGTGAGCAAAGCCCCTGGTGCCTCAGCCCTGCTGCTCTCCCTGCATGGCAGAGCGAGGGCACGGCTGCTTCTCCAGGGCTGTCAGATCCTAGGCTGTGCCAAGCAGGAATGAGACATCTCCCACTGACCCTCACCCTTATAAATCACTGCTCTAAGGCCATGCTGCCCCTTTCCACCCCAATATTGGGGCTCCCTGAGCTGCTCCACAGAGGAGATGCTCAGAGGAGGCTCAAAGCTGGTGCTCAGACTCGAGGCCAGGCCAACTCTCCAGCCGGGCTCGGCCTTTGGGAGCTGGAAGTTTTCTACCTGCCTGTCCCACACCCTGACATGTCCCCACATTAGCAGAGAGGGGACAGAAACCCTTCACCTGTGTTTCTGGGAGCCTGTCCCTCGGGAAGCTTGGGCTCAGGGGGCAGGCAGGTGGGATGCAGGGATCTCACAGCCCTGGCTGGCACAGCACAGCTCTCCTGGCACTGTCACCCAGCCCTGGCCATCCGCTGCCAACTCCAGCTCCAGCTTCCAAACCAGAGCTTGCTCATCTGCCCTGTGCCATTCAAACATGCCCTGCAAAGTGGGAGGAGATGTCTTATCTGGGTTCACCTATGAGTCAGAGGCAGAGGAAGGAGGACACAGGAGCCTGAATCACTCACTCACCACCCCAACCTCCCCAGGCTGCCTTCACACCTCCTCATCCTCCCGTGTAAGGCCTCTGCCCAGCTCCTGGCCAGGGAATGAAAAGGCTGGTGAGGTCCGAGGGGTGCTCCCACCGGAGCCAGAGGCGTGGCAAGGGCAGGGTCAGCCTGCAAAACCCCAAAAGCTGGCGGATGGAGAGCACGGCGCGCGCCCGGCGCCTCGGCCGAGCAGACAGCCGGGGAGGCGGGGGAAGGAGCGAGCAAGCCCGTCAGTTCCTTCTGATGTCTTTGCTAAAAATCCTGGCTACAAAGAGATCTAATTGCAAATGAACTAATTAAGTAAACCTCTGACGAAGCGTGAAAACAATTTGTTTGACCCTGACGCTGGCAGAGGGCTCTCCGACAGCAGAGTTAATCAGTCAGCGCTGGAGCCCACAAGCGGTGTCAGCGGGGCTCCCGCGCTGCCATCTGCTCCCCCCTGCGCCCCCCAGGAGGGAGCCGGGAGCCCCCCGCGCCTGCTGCCGGCGCCTGCCCGCTCCTGCCTCCTGCACGGGGTCTCTCCTTCTCTGGAATCATCGACTCACCGAATGGGTGGGGTGGGAAGGGACCTTAAAGCCCATCCAGTTCCACCCCCCTGCCATGGGCAGGGACACCTTTCACTGGCCCAGGTTGCTCCAAGCCCCATCCAACCCAGCCTTGGACACTTCCAGGGATGGGGGAACTCCAGCAGCAACCCCTGGTGTGTTCTCTCCTTCTGCATGGGGTCCCCCTGGCCCTGGGCAGACACTTTGGGGTATTTGGACCTACTTCCAGGATCTTCCCCTCTACTGGTTCCATTCTGTCCCAGCCTCAGAGTGTGGGTTGTCCCCTCCTCCAAAAAAAACAACCTCCCCCAAAAAGGGGACACTTACTTGACAAACTGTCCCAAGTCCTCACAGAGGGTTTCGCAGCCGGGCCACTTGCACTCTCCGTGGCCGTAGAGCGGGTGGGAGCCAGGGGTCTCTTCGTGGGAAGAGCTGCACAAGAGGGAAAGGGGCCATGAGACAGCCGGGATGCTCCACCATTCCCGTGCACAGGGACAGCCCTCAGGCACCCACAGGAGACCCCCCCCGGGATGGCTCACTGTCCTCCACGGGCACGTGGGTGCAGCCAAACAGCAACAGGACTTGTTTATGGGGTAGGCAGAACTTCCCCTCACCCATCCCCAGCCCTGCTGCCAACGCCACAGTCGACAGATCCCAGCCCCTTCCACCTCTCCAGGAATGAAAACACAAAGTGCCAGGGCCCGACCCGGCTCTACCTGTCCCTTCTCGGCGTGTGCATGGTGCTCTGCCCATTGGGCAGAGGGTGATGGGAGATGGGAGGCGAGACCTTGGCGGCCGAAAACGAGGTAGAGTTGGAGGTGTTGGTGGTGAGGTCAAGACCTTCTTGCTTAATGCTGTCCTCGACGGGCTGGGCGGCCGTGACCTCTTTCCAGAGCTGCTGGAGGTCCGAGGGGCACACGGCTACGGCAGGAGAGAGTGCCCGGGGTCAGCAGGGGCACGGGGCAGAACCCACAGCACCCACAGGGTCCTTCCCTGCCCCCTGGCACAGCTCAGCTCCCCAGACCTCACCCAGTACTGGGAAACCATCACCTAAAGCCAGGCACAGCCCACGACACCAGAAGTGGCAAGGGGAGGCTGCACAGCCCCACCAGGGAGCCCAAAACAAGGCGCTCTCAGCACCCAGGGGGCCACACAGAGCTGTTCCCAGGAGGGAGGAGACCCCTCCTCCCCACACCCTGGCACCCCTATGCCACAGGAAGAGGTGCCCCAGTCCTGCACTCCTCTGCCAAAGGAACCCAGGAGCCCAGCCCTGCACCAGCTCTGACCGCTGATGCCGTCAGACCTCAACTTTAGGAAAAGCATTAGGAAAAACAACAGCCCCTCCCCAGCCCCCCTCACCCAGAGCAGGGGAATCTGCAGCCATGGCCCCCCCCCGTGGGGGGCACCCCGGGTGGGGGTCCTTACCTTGGGGCAGGGTCTGCAGGGGCACTGTGCCCTGCCCTGGCGGGAGGCTCACCAGGCCCTGGCGCTGCAGGTTTAACAGGTGCTGCTGCTGGAGCTGCTGCATCTGCAGGAGCTGCTGCTGGAAGGCCAGCTGCTTGTTCCCCAACGGCTGCCGAGACAAAAGGGACAAATCCAGGCGCCTTATTCCCAGCCCCGCAGGGGAGGCAGGGGCTGGAGGCCACGAGGAGGGGTGCTGGGGGCCAGGGGTGCTGGCGGTGGGGGCACTGTGCCTGCCCGTGTCCCCATCCTGCTGCGGGGCCTGCTCAGCTCACGGCTGAGCCGGACGGAGGCTTTGATCTATCGGAAGAGGAGGGGAAGGAAAGGAAAAGGGGAAGGGAAAAATAAAGCACTGGAAAGAGAGGGAGTGAGCGGAGCTGGGAGTTGCTCGGAGCAAAGAACCAGCTGTGCTGGGAGGTGGGTGTGAACTCCAGCTCTGGGGTCCCATGGGGGAGGCTCAGCTGCAACATCGCTGTAAAAAAAGGGGGCTCCCAGCACCCTGGATGCACAGGATCCCCCCTTTAAGCCACAAAATGATCCCTATTTGTCAAAAACGACCACTATGAGCCCCTTCCTGGTGAGGAGCTGAACAACTGTCTGCAGGGGAGGGGGTGCCCATGCCCCAGCCACAGGCACCCCCCAGGTAGGGGACTCTCCCCCCGTCCCCAGGAGCCAGCCATGCTCTGACCAGCATCGCTGGCCCTAAACTAGTTAGGCAGGACGGGTCCCTGGGGAGGCGCCGAGAAATCCATGAGAATTAAGTGAAGGGGAGAGAATTCAATTAGGGCTGGGGACAGGCAGCTGCTAATCCGAGCCGGGCAGGAGAGGGGAGCTGCCCCGGGGCTGCCCGGCCTCATTAGCGGGGCAGGCGGCCCCATGACCCCACGAACCCCCCGAGCCCCCCTGTTTGGGCAGACGGTGCTGGCAGGGAGCGAGGAGCTGGAGAGCACTGGCCAAGCCCAGGCTGGAGCACATCCCCCATCTCACTGCACTGGGGAGCAGGGGCACTCTGCAGACCCCCAAAGAAGTATTTCCATGTCTTTGTCCTTGCTGATGAGCACAAGAGCTGTGCACTGGGAAATGTCCTTGTTTTTCCTGAGTGTTGTAGGGATTCAGGCCCTGATGCACTGGGAATCCCAGGGACCTGGCACATCTCCTGATGATTCCCGAGGCTACATCAGCAGACAGACTCTCCACGGCAAGCCCATGGGATGCAGGTGGATCCCTGTCGATGCTCAGCCATGTGAATAGGAGGGAGAGGATGGGATCCAGACACTGCCCTACAAACCCCCACGCTCTGCAAAGTCAGGCACAACCACGAGTCCTGTCTAGGGCACGGAGACAGTTTAATTCCAGTTTCTCAGCCTCAGAGGGACATGCAGACTCTCCCTGTCCTGTCCACCTCTGGGCCACGGTGGAATTGCCCCCCCAGCATCAGGTCTAGATCATCTCTGGCTCTGCCTCAGCCCTGCACCTCTGAGGCTTAAAGATTAAGGCACAAATCAAAGCGATTTCTTCTCAGTGAAGAGAAATCCCTGTGCTCACCCTCGCTCCTGAGCCAGGAGGGCTTCAGGCCTTGGAATCAGCAGGATACATGAAAACAGGCAGGACCAGGCTGCAGCCAGAGGGCTTCAAGAGAGGCAGTTCTGTCCCCCACAGTGTCCCCTCCCGGCGAGGGAAAGCTCTGCCACCACGTGGGATGGACACGCGTGCCCTGCCCTGGTTAGAAACAGCAGCTGGGATGGGATGGGACAGGACAGGATTCTCCTCCTCTTCCCGGCTCCGCCGCCGCCCTCCCCGGGGGCCCCGGGGCAAGCCCGAGCTCTGCTCCAGCACAGCCTCAGTCACGTCACTTCCAGACAGCGGAGCAGGAGGAACTGGGAGTGGATGAAGGGATGAAGTCATGAGGATCCCTGGGCACGTCCCTGAGCCCCACAGCCTGGCTGGGCTCTCCCAGCCCGGCCTGACCAGAGTTGTGGCTGGTGGACTGGGATCCCCGAGCCCCAGGCAGCCCTGACCCACACGTGGTTCTGGCAGGGACGGTGCTGTTCAGGTTGAACCTGGACCTTCACATGCTTCAAATCCACATGTGCATCCCTCCAGCTTCACCAGACCACAAACACAGGGACCAGCCCCAGGAATACGAGTCCTGGTGCTGCTCTGAGTCAACCCAAGGACCACATGCCCCCAGGGAAGCCAATTCATCATCACTGGGGAACAACTGCGGCACCACAGATCTCTAAACCCCTGAGTGACGGCTGAGGGGTGCACCCACCTGCAGACTCACCCACCAGCCTGCAGGCTCCAAGCCAAGTTCTCCCTGGAGAAGGTAGGGCAGGGAGAGCCTGGATTACAGCCCCAGCCTCACAGAAAACCTCACGCGCCACTCCACGAGCTCTGCTGCCCTCGGAAAAGCCACCTGAGTCCCCCCAGAGGGGACCCCCAGCACCCACCAGAGGAGCTGGCTCTGGGTTAGGGCCAAATCCTGCTCTTGGCCCCCCCCAGCCCGTTCCCAGCTCCCGTCCCAGCGCGGGACCGGGGCACTGCCTGCATTAGACGCAGCTGAGCGGGTGCAGCTACCGGGGTAGGAGCCGCCGTCACTTTGATTTATGAGCACATCAGGAGGAGTTTCGCCGTGACACGCGGGACTGACAGGAGCAGTTCATTAAGCTGACACTGGGGTGAGGCGCCAGCAGCCCCCCCGCGCCACCCCCTCCCCAACCCCGTCTGCCTCGGCAGAGGGACAAACCCCCAGCCCCAGCAGCTCTGGGGGCATGCAGAGACCCTCTGGCCTCGCCCTTAGGGATACCAGGGCCTCAGCAGCTGGATGCCCCTTGCAGCACTGGGCTTGGAGAAGCCAAGTTCAGGGAAGAGCAGGAGATGACAGGGCGAGGGGCTGCCTGGAGCGTCCCAGCCCGGCGCCGCAGCTCCTTGTTCCCCCATACCCAGGATGCTGCTGGGGTTGGGGGTTCACCAGCACACCCTAGCACAGGAAAATGCTCCAGGAGGACTGGGATGTGCTGCTGCTCAGCCCCATCCCAATGGGATTCATGGATCAGCTGTCTTGCTTGGCCCCTTCCTCACGCCCCACTGTACCACAGCTCCCCACAGTCCAGGGACACACAGCACCCCCGCATCCTCCGGGACAGGATGCTGCCCACAGGCGCTTCCGACACGTTTCCATCCTCTTTTCCTGTTCTCCCCTTCCCCTTCCCCGCTGGGGGACCCCCAGCTGAGCCTGTCCTGAGGAGATCTGAGCTGCTGCTCCAGGAGATGCTGCTCCCTGCTCCCAGCACCTTCCCTGCGCCGCTCCAGCCGCTGCTCCCGCAGCCGAGCCGTTGCCTCACAGCTACACCGAGAGGAGCCCTGGGAGTCGGGCAGAGGGGAAGCAGAAGGCGCAGGGTTTACAAACCTTGCAGCAGGGCTGTGATGAAACACGGTCCTGGGTTTCCAGGAAGGAGCCGACACCGGCCAAGAGCGGCTCTCGGGCAGCATCCCAGACACGCCAGCTATTCCCTGTGCCATGGGGCAGCCATGGCAGGCAAAGCAGAGCATGGGCTTCATGAACAGCAGCTGCCCACGTTCCTGGGCTGAACCCAACCCCACAAAGCCCGTCTGGGGGCTCTGGGGAGGGGAAATGCCGACATCCACTTGCTGGGACCCCCTGGGTGCTTTTCCCAGCCATGATGCTGCTGGAGCTCAATGCACACCCCCCCAGCAGTATTTGCCACTCCTTCCCCCCCCGCCAGCCTCTCTTTCTTAGTGGATAGATTTCCCGTTTCCTCTGTACCATTTAATTAAAAGTTAACACGCGCTTTTTAAACCGGAGCCCGCTAAGCAAGTGCTTTGTTAGAGCTTAATTATATCCCCGCTCAGTGCTGCAACAGAACATCGCCACGGCCAAGAGGAGAGTCCTTGAGGAAGCTCAGATTTATGCCTCCCCGTTCCTGGAGCACCAGCAGCCACTCCAGCTCCTGTAGATGGCTCTGATAAACCTGACCCTGTAAATACGCCAACAGCCCGCAGTGAAAGCCCAGGCCGGTCTGTAGAGACTGGAGTATGTGCCAACCCTGAGCCACTCCAGCCACCCTGGAGTAGCCAATGTGTTTTTGCCATCAAGTCCCCTCTTTGCCACACCAACGCACAGTCTGGGCTTAAAATCTTTCCTCCCCCCAAAAAAGCCAAATTTCAGCACTGAAAAGGGATGAGTACTAATCAGGGTGCTGGATTTCTGGAGGGGTGATTGCCACGAACAGCCCCAGCACCCCAATCCCCTGCCTGCACTGATGCTTGGCCAAGGACATGGAGTGAGTGGCCCAGCTCCACGTCCCTCCGTGCTGGGCACCCTGGGAAGGACACTGGATAGAAGGGCAGCAATGCCAGACATGAATCAGCACGTGCACTGCACAGAACACCCCACCCTGACGACATCCCTGACCTCACTGCCCCCACACACCCCACAGCCTCTGGATACGCTGCTGAGAACGATGCAGCTCAGTGCATGTGCCAGATCACAGACAGGGAGGAGAAGGATGAGGAAGAACAACAACTCCCAGCAACTGGACTGGCCATCCAACACCCCCCAGAGCAGGATGCCCCCATGTCCCATCCCTGCTGGGGTTCCTGCACACCTTGTTGTGCTCCGGTCCTCCTTTAATTTGCTGCCAGATCTGATGGCCCAGCGCCCTCCACGTGAGCTCACCTCTTTGGGTTGCTGCTTTCCAGCTTGCTGCTGCGTCAATAGCTGCAGGTGAAGCTGCTCCTGTTGCTTCTTGTAGTATTCCTGCAGCTGGGAGGGGAGAGAGCAACTGGATTAGCAGCAGAAACACCCCAAGTACCAGGCTTTGCCACAGCCACGTCAGCTCCTGGCACTGTGTCATCAGGGCAGGCTCCTGGCTGCAGGGTGGGAGGGAAGAGACCCACCAGAGGAGTCAGGGCAGCAGAAGAACCCTGGGCACACATTCCCAAAGGCTCCAGATCCCCACAGCAAGTGAAATCTCCCAACACCACCAGTGCCAAACCCGCTGCTTGTTTTAATGTCCCTGAGAAGCAGGCCTGGGTGCTCTGGCACGTAATGGTGTTTCAGCAGTGGGGAAACCCCATTTTCAGCACAGTGGGACCCCAAAACACCCCTGGCAAGGGCTGTGAGAGCCAGGGGAACTCCCAGCTGGGAAGGGGCCAGGAGCAGCCACAGCCCCTGGTCTGGGTGGTGCAACCCTATGAGTGCTGCGGGCTCAGCCCTGCACCCCCTCCAGGGGCAGCCCAGCCCCTCCCAGCCCCCTGGCCAAAGCAGAGAGGTTTGTTGGTCCGGGAAAACAGGGACAAACGCCCCTGCCCCACAATGAACCACCAGAGAGGGTCCCAGTGTCTGCAGGCAGCGCCTGCAGGCATCAACTCCAGCTCCCCCCCGGCCCCTAAATAAACTGTGGGTGATGGATTTGGCGTGTGCAGGGGGAGCAGAGCACAGGGAGGTCAGCGAGACCCCGCAGCCCCCTCCCAGCCGCCTGTACCCCGTGCAGGGGCTCAGGAATGCCCCTGTGGATGCCGGGAATCCTTTATCAGCTCGGGGCTGACAGCGCTGACAGCAGCAACTTCGCTGTTTCTGTCGGAGAACAGGTTTGGAGGGGCTGGGTGTTTACCCTAGAGCCAGCCGGAGCCAGGGCTGCAGCGGGGCCGAGCAGGCGCAGGAACATTGGGTCAGGGGTGAGAGGTGTGATGTTTGGTTTTCTGCCGGTGGAGAATGCGAGCTATTCCGGCCTGGGTTGTTTAATTTGCAGTCAAACGTGTTTCTTTATCCGGCTCCAAAGAGGCTTGTGGAAGGACCCACCCAGGGTAGTGTTTACCCTTTGTTCTTTCCCTGGGGCCAACCTTGAATCCTTATCAGCCTGTTTGGAGTAAACAGGTACTGGAGGCAGGAGGAAGGGCGTGGAGGATGCTTGTGGGGTTTCTCCCTCTCTCCCTCCTGCCGGCAGGAGGTGTTTACCCAAGCAGACCTGTTTTGTTTCGGAGCTGAGGTTTGTTATTTTTCTTCTCCTCCTTTTTCTTCCCTCCCCGTCCGACTGAACACTCCGGAAAAGCTGAGCAGGCCATGAGAAACAAACCCACGTGCTCAGGTCTGGAGCTGGACACGGCCACATGCCCAAGGCCCAGCAGCAGCCACGGGGGCTCTGCTTGGGGTGCATCGAGACGAGAGCTCCCACCGCAACCACAGCTCTTCCCAGGAGCTGGGCAGCCCCAAACCTGACCTCGTGTAGGAATTTTCTGGGCTTTGGGCAGCAGCATCCAGCTTTGCCAGCACTGTCAGCACCCGCAGCTGTTTTTGTCCCTGGACCCGCTGGGAATCCCCAAGGAAATATGTGGAGAACGCAAGAACCCAGGGAGGAAGGGACCCATCTGCCTGCCCACAGCGAGCTCCAGCATTCCAGGACCCCAGTGGGAACTGCTTGGCTGGATCCAGCGTTACCTGTTGCAGCATTATCGCCTGCTGCTGCTGCAGGAGGGCCTGGAGCTGGGGCGGAGAGAGGATCTGCTGCATCTGCTGCGGCGTGATCATCTGCGGGGACATCATGGCCACGGACACGGGCACCTGTGACAGCAAGGACACGTCACCACTCCCCACTCCAGCCCTGGGAAACCCTCCCCGAATGCCAACAGCCTGCAAGTGCCTCCCACCTCTCCTGGAACACCCTTCATGTCCCCCCATCCCAGTGTCACCTTCAGGTGAAGCCCTTGGCCCCTGGTCCGTCCTGGCATGCCAAGGCCACTGCTGGGACATGGTGACAGCAGGGAGGTGCCCTGTGGTGGCACTGGGGTGAAGCTTCCTAAACCATGAGCTCCCCCATCCTGAGTGCAGTTGAGCTGGGGGAATTGGGCATCAAACCACAGCTTCCTCCCCTCCTGTGAGCACAGGAATGGTGCCGGGCTCTGCTCCTTCCCTTGAGGTCCTGGAGTATGCAGGGCAGAGGGAAACACGAGGGAAGTGGGAAGATACTGATCACCCAAATAACTTTGCAAAGCAGAGCACGGAGGAAGAGGTTACCAGGTTCTCCACAGACACATCAAAGCTTTACCTCCAGTTGACACCAGTAACCCACGTAATTACCATGCCAAGAGGAGGGAGGGCCGAGAGAACCTGCCAGCCCCTGCCTTTGGTTATCAAAACACGGGTCCACACCCCCGGCAAGGCTCTGGAGAAGGTGTCAGTGATGGATTCCAGCCCTGCTGGGTCCTGCCCAGGTGGAGCAACGCTGCCTTCCCAACCACAGCCATCAAGAGCTGCCCTGTCCCAGCTCTCTGCTGATCCCACCAGCCCAAAGCCTTTCCCAGGGCTCTGGGCAAAGTTATGGCTTTGCTGTAATTTAATAACCCTTCCTGGGTGCCCCCCTTTTTCCTGGAAAGCAGATGGCTGCTGCCTCCCCCTGCAGCCAGCCCGGTGGGGATGGGACCACAGGGTGGCCCCGTGCAGTCCCTCCCCCCGTGGTGGGTGTCCAGCCGGGCTGGAGCGCTCTGACCTTCAAGGGAGGCTGCCAAGGCTTATCTATTTACTCAGGCATTCTGCTGGAGGGAGGGAAGTGTGGGACACAGGGCGAGCTCCATTTGTGATCCCCCCTCCAGCCGCCTTCGTGTGGCAGTTATTGATTAATTGCTGCGAGTTCCCACCCAAGGGCTGGGGCTGTTTCCACTGCTCCGGCCGTGGGGAGCATCCTCAGGAATGAGCCACAGCGCCCTGGGAGGGCTCCAGCACCCACCAGAGAGCCCCAAGCCCCTCCCAGCACCAGCGAAGAGCTGCTGTTTGGGTGCTCAGGTGCTCCCAGCCAGCTGTGCAAAGCCCTCAGCACATCTGGGAAGGAGGGGAGCCGGCGAGGACGGCGAGACGAGCGGGGTGTGCGCCCGCTCCCGCGAGCTAAGCATCCTGCTAATTTCCCTCTGCCAATTCATCAGCTGGCAACGTGCTCGGAATGAGAGCCCCTAATTAATTGCTCATCCGCATCCCCCATCCGGGCGGCCTCCCCGCCCCCACCGCGCGGCCCCTCCAACACGTTTGCTGGCATTTTCAAATCGGAGGCATCCTAATTACCGGAGAGTTATAACACCTTCCATTTCTCGCCCAGCGGACTGACACCCTGTCAAGAGCAAAGAGAATTGCCAGAGGTTTTGACAACACTAATTGCCCCTATAATCTAAAAACACAAAGGAGAGGCGATTAGTCGAGAGGGCCCCAGCTCTCGATCCGACACGAGGTTTTCACAATGTTACAAGAAAACAAAAGTGACGCTTTTTAGAGTTTGATGGCTGCTAACAAAAGCAGAATTATATTTTCATACAACCTTTGTCTGCATTAAATGGCTTTTTCTTCCCTGCTCGGATGCGGAGCTGACACGGGGAAATGGTGGCGGCTTTGCGCGGGGGTGAGGTGGGAATGGGGCAAACCGGTGCCGGTGTTTGTGAGGGTCACCCGGGCTCTGCTGCCTCCTCGAGCCCCAGGGGATGCCAAAGCCACATGAAGAATTTACCCACAGCATGGAAAACATCCCTCTCCCAGTGGAGGTTTCCAGGGAGAGCAGGAACTTTCTTTAGTAAAAGGGGAAATTCCCACTTACAGCCAGTTTTGCTGCCACTGCAGCCACTCATCCCAGACTCCGGTGCTGGGAAGGTTCTGGTGCTGCCAACCAGGTCTGGCTCGACCCTGATGTGGGCCAGCAAAGCCCCATGTTGGGTTTCTCTGCCCTGGGCTCTGGTGACAGTCCCAGCTGCCTCTGCTGGGGACAGTGACAGCTGCTGCCCTGGCAAAACAAGAGGGGGATGGGAATGTCCATCCCAATCTGGCCAAACACCCCATGGGGGCACCCACAGGAAGCTGATCTGCCAGTGGGGAAGGTGAGGGCACAGTGTGGCCTGGGACACCCTTTCACCTGCAGCCATGGCACTCTGTCACCACTGGCGTGCAAGATTCCCCACGGCAGGAATCGAGGCCAGCCTGGATAACGAGGGGCTCTGTGCAACAAGCACCTCAAAAGCTGGGACCCTGGCAGACAGAGTGGTCAACAAGGCAAGAGAGAGCCAAAGGGTACCAGCAGAGCAGCAGGGGTGGTACAAGGGGCGAGTGTCACCCAGCTGCCTCCTCCACACCCCCTCCACCCCGGGCACCGGAGCAGCCGGGGAATGTCCTCACAGCCGGCACATCCCCCGGGAAGCAGGTCCCAGCAGCGGCTGGTCCCCGGCCGACACGTCACGAGCTGGCATCTGCCAGACACCGAGTCAGGAAGGGTTTGACTCACGCCTTGGCCGCCTGCCACTCCGCAGAACTGCTTACTAACAGCTCCGGCTGCTCCCAGAAACACCCGGCGCTGCTCCGGCCAGCGGCATCTCCGGGGGTGATTTTCCAGGCGGTCCCGGTTGTAATCCCTGCGTGCCAGAGGACGGGCGGGCACGGATCAGCAGGCAGTGGGTGGAAAACGAGGCAGGTATTCCAGGGAAGCTCGGCGGGAGCCCGGAGCAGCGCTGCCAAAGCCGGCTGAGGGAACCAGGATTTGGTCGGGTGGAACGCGGCAGGATGGGGAGCGAGGCTCTTAAGAGAGATTTTTCTTGGATTTTTTTTTTACTTTATGGGAAGCAGATTGAACTCCCAGGCACGAGGCAGAGCAGGGAAAGCCACGGCCCGACGGCTGCTCTTGGCTCTCAGCACGGCGGGGCTGCCAGAGGGACGGTGCCCTCCTGACCCCAGGGACAGCTGGCTTGGCACGGCGTGGGGACATCCTCCGTCAGCCCGTGGCTTGCTCAGCCTCAAAGCATCCCTGCTCCGACCGTCACCTCCCAGCTGTGCTGTCACCCACGCCAGGAGGTCACCACAGGAGCCACGATGTCCCCGGGGAGCCGGGGCAGCACGTCACCAGTGCTACGGGAAGGAGCATCTCCTGGCCCACACCTAAACCACACCCAAACCCACACAGCCCAGCTCCCTCGCCAGGGCAGCCACAGCCCAGACCTCGTCCCCCCAGCCCTGCTGACTCAAGGGGAGCTCTGGGACCACCAGGATGAACACACCTCTCCCTGTGCACAGCAGCTGCCTGGGATGCACTGGGTTCCCTGCAGAGCCCAAGGCTGCACATCTTTGCTCTGATCTAATCTTGCGGTTTAACTCCCCATTAGAAACAACAGAAAACAAGTTTGTGCTCCTTTTCCCTAATTTTAAACACCTTTTTCAAATCTGAACCCAAGAGAAACAAACCGAGGGGGCCGGGAATAGAAGGGGGGGAACAAACACCAGGAGCAGCTTTGAGTTCTGCTGCTTTAGGGGCAGGGGACGAGCAAATCCCCACCCCAGAGAAGTCACTTCTCGCAGGAGAAGTGCAAACCAAATCCCCCAGGCACATCCAGGCGTCCTCTCCTGCACTCTCATCCCTGGGAGAGCTCCAACATCCAGCTGGCTCAGACCATCTGCGAGAGCTCCGAGCGCCCGGGGCCAGGCACTGATGCCACTGACACCAATGTGACCCCAGCCATGGTTTATAAACCCTGAGGGTGGCACAGGGCCACCCAAACATCGCTCTGCCATCCCTCCACTCACACCACACTGTGTCTGAACCTCACCAGGATGGGACAGAGACGACGGACTAAAATCTACCCGGGGTCAGAGGAGAAACTGAGCTCAGTCACATGAGGTTTTGGGGCTGTGGATTGTTTTATGAACCCTCCGAACAGCCACCAAAGGACTGATTGCCCTGGATAGGGGTGGCAGCAGGAGGGCAAGGGGGGCACAGGGTGAACAGGCACCAGTGTAGAGGACACCAGGCTCTGGTGTTCAGCTCCATGTAAAGAAAAGGAGGAATCAATCAGCCCAACGTGCATCCTCATTAGTGCATCCTCGTTAGCACGGTGTTCCCACCAGGGAGGCACTAATGGCACGTGGCTGGGCTCCAGGAAGCTGGAAGGAGCTGGCTGGGGACACTGGCAGCAGAGGTGACAGAAATGGAGTGCCCACAGCCCCTCCTTGGTGAGCCCCTGCCTGCAGCATCACCCAGGCAGTGTCCCTGGGGGGGACACCACGGGGACAGGGTGCTGGCACAGCTCATCACACTGATGAGCTACACGGACTGAAGTGACTTTGCTCCTCTGTTAATCCAAAATGCCAATCCCAGAGCAGGGTGGTGGCAGTGGCTCGGGGCTGGCAGAGCCGGGGGCTCCAGGAAGGAGGGGTGGGAGCAGGGACAGACAGTGATGCTGCAAGTTCAGATGGAAAAATCTAGTGCCGTGCGAGCCGAGACGGACGGGCTGCTGGATTTGTTCCTGGAGAGGGAACGCAGAAGGGCTGGTATTGATCTGTCTTCATTACCCATTTCACTCAAGTTTCAAATCAACAAAATACACTTTTCCGCTCCGCTGCCCTCCCCGCGCAGCAGACAAAAGAAAAGCAATTTCCCGCAGTTTGCTCCAAACTCCTCTCCCTTCCCCTGGCGCCCTTCAGCCCCTCTCCCCTTTCAGACAGGAGAGACCCCCAGCTCCGAGGGCTGAGCTGGGGAGGGACTCCAAAGAGGGCACCCCACAATTCCAAGGGGTCTCCAAGCCAGCACTGAGAATGGGTGCTGCCTTTCCAGCACCTCATTCCATTTCCCAGACCCCAGATCCCAGCAGGATCCCAGGGGGATATGCTGCTTCCACCAGCCCCATGCAGGATGGGAACACCCTGCAGTCCATCAGCACCGAAAGTCCCCAAACACAACACTTTGTCAGCACCCGCCAAGTTTCCAAGAGTTTTGAAGTTGCAGAGAAATAAAACCATTTTTAAATGGTTTAAAACACCCAAAGGTTGGGGAGGGGGGTGCCTTTTTTTTAACTGCAGCTGCAACTCGAGTGTCAGCGTGAGGCTCTCCACACACACCTCCAGGCATCTGGGGAGAGAGAGGGTCCATACTCCAAAAAAACCCTACCCCAGGATGCTACGGAGCCCAGCAGCTCCCTGGTTGGTTTGAAGCACATGCCGTCAGGAATGTCATTAATATTCCCGCTGGCTTGGTGCCCCGAAAATGTCCCGTCCCCATCAGGGGGTGACAGGGAGAGTGCACAGTGTGGGCAAGCACGGGGGGTCCGTGGTGCTCCTGGGTGTGGGGGCTCCTGCTCTCTCTGCCAGCACCGGGACCCTCCTGCTCCCTCCCCCTGGGACTGGGGGCCAGGAGCCGGCTGGCACGGGGCTGAGGGGAGGGAGGCCACGGACACAACTTCTCCCCCCTCCCCAAAATACCCAACCAACAGATGGGAAAATCCATTCCCCAGCCTCGGGGGGCTGCACATCCACAAGCAAAGCCCGTGGGAGCCCAGGCTGGCACCCCAAGGACACCCCAGTTCCCAAACACCTCCATGACTCTCCCATCCTGCCGCGCTCCCTGCTCCCTCCCCAGCCAGGGGCTGCTGTGCTGGGACCAGCCTTCCTCCTCCTCCTCCTCCTCCTCCCGCTGTCCTGGCCAGTCTCATCCACACCACTCTGCCGTTAGATAAACTTCCTTTCAAAGGAGTCTGCTTAATCCTCTATCTCCCCTCGGTCAGATCCCGCTCCAGCTGCCGGCGGGGCCGCGGGGGGAGGAAGAGCCGCTCGCTGCTGAGTTATGAGCTATTTCTGACTCACGTCTACAACTTTCACAAGTCCTTTTGCAACACAGAAAGGGAGGAGGGGAGAGGAAGGAGATCCAGTTCGCTCCGGCAAAGCCGCTGGCCAGATGGGCAGGGAGGGGAGGCTGGAGAGCAGCAGGGAAGGGGAGGACGGGATGTTCGAGCAGCAGCGAGTGTATCCAGCCGGGAATACGGTGGGGAGAGCACCGAGGGATAGGCAGGAGAAGGAGTGCAGGGACACACACCCACGGAGGGGAGCGAGGCGCCGGTTACCGGAATCTGACTTCACCCTCGCTGCCTTTGTCCTCTGCAGACATTTTCCATGCAGTGACTGCATTTCCTTCCTGCGAGCACCACTGGAAAAAGCCGCCTGTTTGTGCTGCAGCAGCCCTGACTAATTCCCACTGCTCGTACCCAGCTGCTGCTTCCCAACCCGGAAGGGCAGCCGGGGGTCCCGGGCTCCCCTGACCCCTGGGAGCCCCAGGACCTGCTGCTGGCTGGCTCAGCCATGGCCTGGCTCTGTGAGCCAGGATTGGAGCCCGGGATTGGAGCCCAGGATTGCCCATCCCAGCCCGGCTCCCGCTGCCCTCCCGCTGCCACACGGCTCAGCCTGGCACAGGCAGGACCTCCAGCTCTGAGAGCGCTTGTGCTAATTACTTTCCTTTGTTAATTAAACCCACGTGGCTCTAATAAGGTAACCTGCTGTTCTCCGATAAATTTAATTAGCCTGAAGGGAGAGCCCCTCCACACAGCTATTTAAATTGTCACTTTCCATCGCTTGGGCCTTGCTTCTTCCAGCCTCCCCCTCTCTCCAGATTTCACCCCTCTTCTGCTCCTTTTCTTCCCATTTTCAGCCCCTTTCCTTTGGCAGAGCAGTGGAGCAAGGGCGTGGTCCCCCCATCCCCAGGGGAGCAGGATGCTGTGCCCACCCAATGCCCCGCTTTCCTGCCAGTGCTGCAAATCCCACCTCAACTGGGCCTGTCTCAGCAGCTGTCCCACGTGGGAGGACTTGCCCTGGCTCCAGCCCAAAGGATTGCTCCTTATCCAGCCCCTGTGCCACACTCACAGCACCCAGCACTGATTCTGAGGTGCCCTAACCCTGGGAAACTCTGAGCCTATCTGAAATGTGTCCCACAGGCACATGGTCACCTTCCTCCCTCCCAGTCCTTTCTCCTCTGGAGCCAACCCTTCCCTGGCATCGCCCTTTCCCACCACATCAGCACAAAAGGGAGAACACACCTCCCCCAAAAAATACTCCCAAGAAATGTCAGGAACTTCACAGAGGATTTAACTCCAGCCATCCCAACCATGGAGGTGACCTGTGGCCTGTCCCACACCTGCAGCCGAGCCCTTCCCAACCAGGGGCCGATGGGGGACACGAGCTGGGGGCTCACCTGCACTGCTGGCTGCTTGCCCTCGTTGCTGCTGGGGGAGCTCAGCCCCGTGGCCTGCTGCAGCAGGAACTGCCGTGCCACCTGGAGAGCCTGCAAAAGAGACACAGCACCGTGGGCAGGGGAAGGCTGCCCTCCTCCTCCTCCTCCTCCTCCTCCAGCTCTGGTTCTCCACGGGTTTGATTCAGGGGGTGTGAGGGATGCACGAGGAGGGCAGCGTTCCCTGCCACAGCAGTTTGACCAGTACATGCCATTACAGACCACCTATTCCTACCCCCAGAGCCATGGAAAGCCAGAGGCAGCTGGGAGCAGTTCCATCCTCTTCCAGAACCACCCCCTCCATCTTTAGCAGTCACCAGTGTCCAGCAGCCCTGTGCCACTGGGGTCATTCCCAAAGCTCCAGCTCCTGGCTGGTTCATTCCACCCTTGCACGGAGCCATCACCACAGTTCTGCTGCTGCTGCTGCTGTCCCTTGTGTCTAAAGCACTGTGCATATTTAATTTTACATCTGATTGTTACACTGGAGCACCAGAAAGTTCCAGTCACCACCCAGACTTGGGTGAGGCCACGTGCAGGATCACACCCTGAATCAATCCACGAATGTGTCTGCATGGAGTTGATGGTGATGCAGGAGGTGTTCAGCAACTCCCACGAGCAACTCCCACTAAACCTGCTTATTTCTAGGGGTGTTTGCCTAGAAAAAGTGATGGGTTTCCTTAAGCTGTTTACAGGGATGAAGGCATTTCACTGGGAATCACACAACAGGCAAAAGAGGGAGAAACCAACATAAGAGGGAGAAATGGATAAAATACACTTGTGAAACACACCCAGGCACAACTGAGCCAGGCACAGCACTGTGGACAGCTGGAGAAAGCAGGGGAAATGAAGGAAAATCCTGTGAAGAGACGAGGAGGAGAGAGGAGCAAGTGTGAGCTGAGAAAAGGAGCTTCACTGAGGAGCTGGGAGCAAGGAGAAGGAATAAAGCTCTAAGGAAAACAACCCGCTGCTCCCAGACCTGCTTCCTCCTTCGCTCCTTATTTCTGCTTTTAAAGAATTCTTTTCCTTCCTTCTGGTTTTTTTTTGGGCACGTTTCTGAACAAGCAGGGTATTGTAGCCCTGCCTGCAGGACAGGGCTGCGTTAGGGCCAGCGTGGGGGCAGAGCCCGGCGGGTCCCTGCCTGTCATCCCCCATAAATCCCTGCCCGGCTTCCAGGAGGGTTTGCCACCATCATATGAACCAAAGAGCCACAAGAAAGTAGAAAACCAAGGAGTTCCAGAAGCAGATGGATCTTAATTTTGTATTCCTCTCATGAATTACCAGGGCTGCATCCCAGGATTGGCCCCAGCTTGGCGTGCCCAGCACGGGAACACCCAGAGCTGCCCCACGGCCACTGAGCATCCCTGGGGATACTCAGAGCTACACAACCACTGACCTGCAAACTCACTTTATCCAAACAATTAAAAACTAGAATCCTTGAGGACAAACATGGCAATTCACTGCTGGGAATCACCGATGGAACGGGCCCGTGGTGCAGATCCCGGCGCCACAGCCCCAGCGCGAGGCGCGTTTCTCCACGGGCGTGTTATTGCCCTGTTATTAACAGGATAGATGTGCATCGGTAATGCGAACACAGAAACCATGTGACAGTTATGACAGCTCAAGGTCTGATATTTTAATTACTTTTTGAAATGAAAACAGTAATTCCAGTTAAAAGCCAAGGGTGGAGGAATTCAATCGGCGGCTGCTCAGCGGCAGGTCCAAGGCTCCCACCAGGATGGGTGCTGGACTGTGGCTGCACCCTGTGTCCCTGCACAACTGCCTGAGCTTGCCTGCTTTTCCACGTGTCCTTTAACAGAGGATTGCATGGATTTGGTTTCTCCATGCACACCACACGGAATTCCTGTGGTGTTTGTAAGGGCCATCTCACAGAGGTGATCCGGAGAGGCAGGTCCCTGCCCCAGACCAGCAAAAATCAGTGCAACAGGGACAGAAAAAACAGCAAAGAGGGGAAAACCAGAAGGGACATAATTCCAGCACAAAGTGCCACACAGGACTTCTCCCAGAATTTCTCTTCTAAGCCCAAACAGTGGCTGGTGCCACCGAGCCCCCAGCGCCCGCCCGGCTCGGCCCCACTGCGCCGCCTCTCAGGGGGGAATTTAATTCACTCCCTGCTGGCTCTCTCACTTTGTTGTGCTCTGAAGCACGAAATTACAAGATTTACAGGAAAAAAAATGACATGGCCTTACAATTGCACACAGGGGCCTCTCCACCAGTGCCCCAGAGCTGCCCCCTCCCTCCCTCCTCACCGCCCGGCAGCGACTCCCACTCCAGCCTAAGCTGAGCTCAGCCTGCAAACGAGGGATGAAAACCTGTTGCACAGCTGCACAAAGCACGTGGAGCACCAAGGATGGAATTTTGGGATGCAGAGCCCCTGGTTATCTGCACTTGTTGCCCTCACAGGGCAGGAACAGCCCAGATGTGGGAGATAAAGCCTCTTCGTAAGGATGAGCAGGGAAGGCATCATCCACAGGCTCTCCTTGGGGCTGAGGAAACGGGAAAGCAGAAGGAAGAGTCCCCCCGTGGGAGTGGATGGGTTTTCACCTCCTGGCTCTGGGAGCCAGAGAAAAACTGATTTTTTTAAAAAAGCCCATCTCCTGCTGCAGGGTGTCATCCAGGAGTCATTAGCACGTTCCTCGTAATTGGGAACGAATGGGTTGTGTCAGCTCCTGGATGGCTCCCTTTGATCAGCAAATTATCCCATAAAAAGTTTGTAATGTCTCAGGCACATCCAGAGTTGGTGTGGTTTGGCTTTGCCCTCCCCAAGAGCAGCAGCAGCACATTCCAGGGCTGAGGAAGAGGAAGGTGACCCAGGCTGGGGAAGGCCCACAACTCCCTCCAGCTCTGTGGGGACACAGAACACACCAGGAATTGCAGGGAGATGCTGGAAGGTGTGAGCTGGGATGGGGAGGGGGTCAATAAATAAACCATGCTAGCATTAATCCTTAATTCTTCCCCCACAGGCTTGTGCTCCAGCCCGTGAGGGTCCATAAATTCACTCCTGCACATGATGGAGGATCCTCCAGACACCAGGAGGGGCAGATTTCAGCTGCCTTCCTCATGGCAAACACCACAAACTTCCCTTTCTTCCTCAGGGAACAACATCAAGTCCCACTTGATCCCAGCCCTGGAAAAGCCCAGGCTGAGGAGACAGCAGCTCCCATCCCATCCAGGATCCCACCCTACAGCCTGGATAACGTTGGATTAACCCCTCACCCCTGCCTGGCAAAAAAAACCACACAAAATCCACCCAAACAAACCCAACCAAAGAAATCACAGTACAATGGAAAATCTTGCCCAGGATATCTTAAATTCCCTTATTTACCAGGCATTTCACTTTATGATGACAGAGTTTTTAATTCCACCCAGCAGTGCCCAGACGCTCCAGCTGCCGGAGCCAGGAGCAGGGTCACCACCATGGAAACTGCTGCCCAAAATTAGCTGAGGGATCTTCTACCTGGATCAAAGCTTTACATGAGGTTTTACCCTCCAGTGAGTGAAAAACCACCTGAAAATGACAGTAACGCGAGAATTCTGCAAGGAAAGAGGATCTGTAAGAGAGTTTGTATCCTCCCTTTTCCATCCGATTCTTTCAGAGAGTGGAAAGAAGTTGGGAAGGGATGAAAAAATGGTAAAAAAAAGAAAAAGGAAGATTTTTTACACTAACCTCATAAAAATGACATCGTCACATTCCAGAATTAGAGCCATTAAAACAACACACACGGATATTTTTAGCTGGATATTAACAGTAAATGATGCCATATTGAGGAGCACTTCCACCAGCCCAGCCCGGCCTCGCTTAACCAGAACCAAATGGCTCCAAGAGATCCAAACTAGCAAAAATGACACAATTCTTCACAGGGAAATGAAAAAAAAAAAAAAAAAAAGTAGTTTTTACACCCAACTCCATGTCTGTGTCCCAGCCCCAGCTGTGCTCCCCTGCTCTAATGCTCCTGCACTTTATTAATCTGCTCTTGCCTCCTCAGACCTCGCAGGCGTGGGGTTAAACCCATCCCCACTAATGAAGAACACAAGGAACATGCTCCTGAAAATCCCACTCCACGGAAAAAAAGAGGAAAAAAAGAGTAAAGAAAGGATCCTGCATTTGTCCCCAGTAAAATATGAAATATGAATCAGGGAAGTGAATAGAGAGATGAGTTTCACTTAAGTGCTCCAGCCTCGTTTTTATCTTAAATACCCTAATAATAGCGGATTACACAATATATTTGAGATGTGATCACATGTTTTATGGAATGGTATCTCTCTGAGGGCAGCAAAGTGCCTCTCCTCCCCCCTCCACACCCTTCCTCAACTCCCAAAAAGGTCCCATTTGCTTCTTTTCAAAAGCAAGACTTATTTTTGTTTATTATTCCCCATTTCTTTGACGTCCGTCTGCAATAAACTGCACTTTTTAATGTATTTTTTTGCATAATAAAATAACACCAAACAACGCTGGAGCAGCTGGATTTTCCAGATGGCTCCTTTTCCATGGACTGCAAGTTGGAAGAAGCTCCCGTGCGGTGCCGGACTCGGGGATTTTCCCCATGATATCCTTGCACAGGCACCTCCCACGCTTTTCACCCCTGCACCCCAAAGCTGCGACGACCCCCAAGACCCAGGCTCTCTGTGCACCACGGATTTAAACTCCAGCTCCAGGATAAGAGTCGGAAACCCGGGATTGCTTTCAGAAATTCAGGAGAAGCCCAAACCATGGCACCCTGGGTCTCCCCTGTCCCTCCACCGCTCCCTATACCCAACCCAGAGGATCCCCCCTCCTGCTCCCACCCCAGGGATGTGGCTCCCCCCTCACCCCACTGCCCCCGTTTCCTGCCCAGCCTTCCTCAGCCGGGAATTCCGGGGGGGCCTGGCACGGCAGGAGGGGCCAGCGGGGCCCTCTGGAGCGCGGCAGTGCCGGAGGTCCCTCCACGTTCCCACAGCAACGGCGGGGGGTGCCGGGCCCTCCCGTGCCCCCGGCCGACCTCTCCCCTCCGCCGAGCCCCGCACAAAGCGGGCGCGCCCCATTCAGGCTTTTCAGCCCAATCCCACCATTGAAATCCAGGGATTTACCCGAGCCAGCCCCTCGGCTGGTGGAGAGGGAGGGAGGGGAGGGGGATGCCCTTTCCCCACCCCATCCCACTCTCCCTTCAGACCTGCCCCTCTTCCTCTCCTGCTCACCCTTCAGACACTCCAGACCCTGGGACGCTCTGAAGGCACATGGATCGGGAAGGACAGACGGATGAGGACAGTGATGGAACACTGTGCTCCATGGTGGAGCAGAGCTGGTACCGAGCTGGCAGCCCCTGTCTTGGCAAACCAGGCTGGTGCTGCCAGACACCCACAACCTCTTGCTCTGGGGACATCCCAGAAGCCACAAAACAGCCTCGAGGGTCCCTGAGTACCCAAGAACACACCCCCCTCCCCTCAAGATCCCACCCAGGGCACCCATCTCCAGCAGCACCCTCAGGAAGGAGTCTGAACCCAAAAAGTCCCTGCAAAGAGCTGTCTGTGTTCACCCTTTGAAGGGGGTGAAAGCAGAGGGGCCACAGGAACTGGAAAAGGTCCAAACCAGACCAAACTGGGGGCAGGGCACGAGGCCCCGGGAGCTGCATCCACCAAACAAATCCCTAGGGACACAGAGCCTTGGGCCACTGGTGGCCCTGCGAGCCCAGGCTGAGTGGTGGCTTCCCACCCCTTCAGGCTTTCAAACGTTTCTCGGGGATTTCATAAAGTTCAGTAAGAATAAGGATTGAGTGCCGGCATTTCGGGAGCCGGGATGGATTTGCGATCAGTCGGGAATAGCCCAGTGGTCCGAGAACCTGGGGCGAACGCTGGATGCTCCCGAGGACGGTGCAAAGCCCTCATAAAGCACCTAATTGTCCAAAACTCCCAATATGGGGACATTTATTCCTGACCCCAGCTGGTGCTCAGCCTGCTCCCTGAAGCAGGAAGATTGATAGTCCCGGGGATGGGTCCTCCCCCTTTCCCAAGGTGCTGGCACTGCAGATGCCATTTGACTTTGGAAGTTTACCAAACCCTCTGCCTTAACAATTCCACGTGCCAGCAAGTTTCCCAGGGTAATCGCACCAGGAACCCGAGAGAAGAAACGCAAAAGGGTGACATTAAACACTGGCCGTGCTTTGGGCAGGGCGGGATTCACCGGGCGAGCCCAGGGAGCATCCGCAGGGACGAGCCAACAGCACAGCGCTCTGCTTCGGAAAAGCCTCTTTCATGCTGATTTTCTGGAGGAGATGCCCTGTTTCACACCCACGGTTTGCATCGTTTTGGCTGTGTGGGATCACGGGTCTCCTGTTCCCCCCCTTCCCCCGCGCTGGGTGCCGCGCGGCGGAATTCGGGGAGGGAATTCGGGGAGGGGAGCGCGGGCGGCTCCTCGGCGGGCACTGGCAGCAGCATTACACGCATGATTACCCCTCGGATCCGGGGAACAGGGGCTTAACTGCGTGCGAAACGGCTGTTATCCAGGTAATGGATTTACAGCACTCACTACTAAAGTATCAGACACAGCAATTTTTTACAGCTTTCACGCTGGAATTTATGGCTCAGGGAGGCGATCTCCGTACGAGGCAGGGATCATTGCCTTATTTAGTAGCCGAGGAGGAAAATTTATGTTTTTGCCAAAGTTTGTTTTGAAAGGTAACCTGCAGGCACGGCCCCCCTCCCCACGGCTGCCTGAGGGGACACGTGTGCCAAGGGCTCCCCGAGGGGCACACACGTGTGCCCAAGGACAGAGCTGCTGCACACACATGTCACGGTCACATGTGTTCTCAGCCATGTGTGTGAGGTTAATTCCTCAGCTGAAGGCACCAGGAGCCCCAAGGAGTGGGGGACCAGCTCCGCTCACCCACCTGGACAACCAAATACAGACTTGGAGAACACCTGCTCTTGTGTTACAGCCAAGACCTTTGGCCTCACATTCCTCCTCTTCCTCACCTCTTTCCCAGACCAATGGGGGACAGAGCAGGCAGGACCTCCCCCCTCAAAACAGAGCCATGTCTGGGGCACCAGGTACCCCACGGATAGATGGGCTCCATCTCCCGAGGGATGTGCACCCCAAGGACAGGCACCTGTTTTTGGGGCAGCACCTGCAGCCCCAACAGGGATGACCGAGCCTGGCAGAACTCCCGGGACAAGGAGGGGTAAAACCAAGTGCTGCCCCCAAACCACATCCCGGAAAGACCCAGATCTGCGTTGCCTCGTGTAAGGCTGGCAGGAAGGAATGGGGGTGTCCGTCCTACCTGCTGCTGCTGGAAGTGCAGGAGCTCCACGGGGCTCATCTCTCCGTTGGCCTCGCCGGTGGCTCCGTCGCGCCCGCCGCCCCCCGCGCCGCCCCCGCCGCCATCGGGCTGCTGGCTGAGGCTGCTCACCCCGTTCTGGGCGGAGGGGGTGGAACGTATCGTCTCCGAGGCAGATTCAACCATCATGACTCGCTAGCAGGACCTGAGGAGGAGGAGAGAGCAGAGGCTGAGAACGGAGTCCGGGATCCCTGGCTGGCATCCCCATTCCGCCTGCCCTGTCCCTGATCCCTGACATCCTGCAAGGGTGGGATGCCAAACCCTGTCCAGTTTTAGCTGCGTTCGATTTACCCCAAAAAATAAACGTGCACGAGCTGCCACAGACACTCTGTCGGCCCTGCACATCCCTGGGCAAGGCAAGTGCAACTCGTTCCTCAGGAAAACCCATGATTCCAGCTTTCTCTGAGCCTGATGCAAGACATAAAGCCCCAGGAATCCGGGTATTTTCATCGAATCCCAAAATATTTCCCTTTGAGATGCTGGAGACAGCACAGCTGGAGTCCCAGCGAGGCTGCACACGGAGTGCAAGGAGCCTGTGCCATGGATCTCGAAACACTTCCTCGAAGTGCTTTAGCTCCAAGCAAACCAGCACTTCCCAGCAGGAAAAACCACCTGGCAGGAAAAACCACCCAGCAGAAGGTTTGCTGGCAGGCTGAGGAAACCCCGAAGTTTCGGCAGAGCTGGGACGCGGCAACGAGAACACAGCGACACATCAAGTGGAAAATCCTCCCTTCCTCCCAGCCTTTGCTCAGTTGGCTTGGATTACTGGGCAGGTTGTTGGCTGTGAACCTGAGAGTCCCCTTTTCTGGGAGAAACTCCTGGATCTGGGCTGGCACTGGAGGAAACAGAACCATCGCATCCAACATCGACTGCTGCCCCTGCGACAGCATCCACCGAGCCCCTGGGGCCACATCCAGCCCTGACACACACACAGTGATCAGGGGCACAGGAACCCCCCCGGAGTGAGGGTCTCTCCCCCTCCTTCCAGCACACTTTCCTCTGTGGAAAAGCAGAGGACAGTTTTATCTCATCCCATCCGTCCCCATCCCCACCGGCAGGTGCCGGCGCGGGATCAGCGCCGCTCGCAGAGTTTGAAACAGGAGGGGAATAAAGAGGACAAGGAGAAGCAACACTGCCTCTCCCTTTTTTCCCCCCCCCTCTTTTTTTTCCCCATTTCCTCCCCCCCGCCCCAAAAGCCGGAGAGACAAACCACGAACAACATAATTGCTGAAATGTGGCGTGTAATAATCGCTATTCAGGGCTGATCATTCATATTAAACAGGGTGCAGCGAGCTGCTCATTTGCATGTTTGAGATTATATGCATTTCAAAAGTCATTTCCGCAGGGTATATGACTGACATTAATTCCCATGGGGAGCTGCTGGTTCCCTCCCACTGTCCCAGTGCTCCCGAATCCACACAGGGTGACACACCAGTAGCTGTGGGACAGTTCAAGGTTAACGGGATTACTGGGATTTGGGTTTGGTTGAAGCACAGGAGAAGGGATGAGAGCATGGCATGGCTGGAGCAGCTTCCCAGGGTTCAAGAAAGGACGAGGTGCTCACAGGACGCTGCGTTAGGAGTAAAAATCTAGAAGAAAGAAACACTTTTTGCCTTAAAAGCTACATTTGTTCCTTCCTCCCTTTCGATTGCAACAAATACCCACAGAAATACTAAATTATTGCTGTTCCTGTTCCCATTTTCCTTCTGAAATCCACTGCCTGCTCCGTGTTTTGACCAGGCACGGCAGGGAGTGCCGGGCTCTGCCCATGTCCGGCAGTCACACGGCATCACCGCGGCCAGAAACTCATCGGGACTCAAGCAGGGATTTGACTTTTATACGGAGAACAAGAATATCCAGAGTTACAACAGGAAGTATTAAAAAAGGGAAAAAAAAAAAAAAAAAAGGTTTTTGGAAAGGATATAAAACTTTCCTGGCTTCGGGCATAAACTGAAGCTTAACTATTGGGAATTAGGAGGAAATCTCTTCTGGTGGAGGAGCTGTGGGCTCGTTCCGGCGGCCCTGGCCCTGCCAGAGGCGGGATGCTGGAGCAGATTCCCGCAGCCTGGGTGATTCCCGGAGCCGGGGACACCGGGCCAGTTGGGTTCCCTCTCCAAGTCTAGTAAAACTCGACTTCCCGTTCACAAACCCTACGGGACGCTGGAGCGTCTGGGATCCCAACGCTGCAAGGGAAGTCATAAAAGAAAGTCATAATAATAATAATAATGAAAATATTTCCATTCCTATAAAAGTTTTACAAAACCTTAAAGAAAAAAAAAATGAAGCCAGTGTCTGCAACGTTATAAAGTGGATTTAAATTAGGAACAAGCACTTTTCCAGCCAGGACTGATCTGGGACGACTGAGGCTACGCTGGGAAGAGCGAACCTCAGCCTCGCGAGCGGCTGCGATGCCGAGCACACGTGCATCCCTGCACGCAGCCAGGGGGATCCACAGCATCCCAGCTCCTGCTTCTCATCTATTTCAGTTCAAACACAGCCAGTATTTCAGGGATTCTCCATACGCTGGTATCCAGAGGGTCTAATCAGGATCAGACCTTCCCCCAGGCAGAAAGGCAGGGACCATGTCCAGACAGTCAGTGGGAAGATGCAACACCCGGATAAAGTGGGAAAGGGTGGGTTTAGTTAAAAGGGGAGGGAGGGAGGAGCCCCCTCCAATGGCAACAGCAACAGAAGCTGAGCCAATGGATCATTAATTACCATTAATTACCATTTCAGACTCAAAATCTCCTCGCTGAACCACCGCTCTGCCTTTTTTTTTTCCCTTTTACTCAACCACGCACCTTCCGTAGGACAAAGAAAAGGAAACGGAGAATTACAAACGGAGCAACGAATCCCCCTGCCTTTAGCGGGACCATATGGCAACGAGGGTGTTTTAATTACCCTTGCTTTTAATTAACAATTGCTTCGTCTGAGCAGTAACATTTCCTTGACATCCCCTGACTTGCCGCTAACCCGCACGGTGCACGTGCCACGCCGAGTCATCAATCCCGCTTTATTGACATCCATCCCTCCCGCAAACAGGCACGATCCCGGGGTTTTCCAATTAACACCTCCACACTCTCTAATTAGCGCAATTAACAGGCTGATGGATGCCTGGAGCTTCCCTGCGAGGGAGGGGGGCAGATCAGCTGCCATTGGACACGGCTCCCACCGCATGCAGCCGACATGCGTGTGCCACGCTTCCCGTGGGAGCACCACGTGTGTGCCATGCCTAGAGCCGGGCACGGCCACGGAGCCTTCTGGAGCACTGGGGGAAAGGGAAGGATGGACACAGATGGACAGACTAGGAACAAACAATTGCACTGAAGGACATGGGATCTTCAGGAGCAGGAACAGCAGATGAAGCATTTACAGTGATTTCTCCCCAAAAGCTCCCAAGGAATTTTGGGGCGTCCAGACCCACCCAAAGCGATGCCACTTCTCCACCTGATTCTGTGCCACGGACGTGAAAATTAAATGGCACCTCTCGGCCCCCGGGACCCGCAGGAACAGGCACAGCCCCACCACGAGCTCCTCAGAAGCAATTGCCTCAACACCTATTTTAGCAGCTTTCCCTATTTTTAATTATCCTCGATACCACGATCCTCAGGGGCTCCGTAACTTTGGGCTGCCCTTCACAGGCTGCCAGAGGGACCAGTGCCACAGGCACCTCCTCCCCGCTGCCCCTGTCCTCGAGTCCCTGCCCCCAACCACTGTGGGAGCCCCTCGGCCTCAGTTTCCCCAGATCCAAACTCAAAGAGCTCAAAACCATCACCCAAGGAGGGATAAGGAAGAATGGTGGGAAACACCAGTGGGAAAATGCTCCCACATCTCCAGGAGCTCAGCAAGGCCCTGCTGATGAACCAGCACGGGACAGCACAGTTGACACCGCACGCTGACACACAGCACAGGACTGTGGCTCCAGAGGCTATTTCTGCCCTTCCCACCACATCCCGGCCCCAACGAGCATTTTCCAGACCCTTCCTTCCAGCTCCAGCCTGTCCAGGACGTGGAGGGGAGCTGAGGCTGCACAGTGAGGGTCCTCCCTCCAGCAGCTGCTCCCACAGGTACCAGCAGATGCTGGAGGAGCAAAGGACCCAGCAAATCCCCCCCAAAGCTCTTGGAAGTCCGTGGGATGCTGCTCTGTACAGCTGGGAGAAGAGGACTCGGGGAGGCTGGATCCCAGGCACGGGATCTGCTCCGAGCTATGGAAAGTTGAGCAGCCTGCCCGTCCTGCTCTGGCTTTAGGAAGCGGCTGCTAATCTTAAAAGGCTTCGGCTGGAGGAGAAGCAGCAGCCGGGATTGCTCCGAGAGTGGCTTTTTACCCTTTAATTAACACATAAACACATGGAAATGTGGAAAGGGGATTAAAATAAAAGTCTGGGGGAGCTGAGATGAATCTAGAGCATTACTGTAAATTAGAAGATATTTAAGGAACCAGGGACTGGCTAAGCCCAGGCACTGCTTTAATGGGATCTCACCTCTGGGCACTTTCATCTCCCACTTTCATCTTGCTCCCAGCAAACTTCTTTGGGAAGAGCCAACCTCTGGCGCTCACCTTCACCCCCCAGCTCTCCTCACCTGCCTCGGTGCCATCACACCCCAGCCACGCTCACAGGATCACTGTCAGGCAGTGGAGAGCGTTTGCTGCTCCACAGAAACCAAGCAAGAACGACCCCAGTGAGATTCCTCTCCCCAGGAAGGGGGGTCAGATCAGCTGGAAGCACAAGCCCCTCCAGCAGAGAAGTCCTGGGACTGTGCTTGTGAGTGGGACATGGCACTGCCCCACCTGCCTCTCCAAACCATGCCACTCTCGGAGCATCCTTTGCTCTCCAGAGCTCACACCAGACACCCTAACCACAGCCAACCCCACGGGAGATCCCAGTGCCCATCCCAGAGAGCCATCCCATCTGCAGGGCATTCCTGCAGACACCAGTGGCTGGTTGGCCCCTCTCCCAGTCCCTGCCAAGCTTCAAGGAATATCGAATCCCTCCCAGAGTGGACGTGGGACCAGCCTGAACACAGCCAGGCTGGTGCCAGGCACCGGGGCTGCTGCTCCATCCTGGCTTCCCTGGGCACGTGCCAGGCACCGGGGCCACTGCTCCATCCTGCTCCATCCCGGCTTCCCTCGCTGTGCTCTTGAAA